ATTCAAAGGAACAATAAAGGAGCTTTGAACTCCTCCTCAAATAACAGTCGTGTTTGAACTTGCGAAATGTCCACGAATTTTTTTAAGTCGCATGTTTTAAGTACCTGGGTCTTAAACATAGGTAACTATTTGCCCTGCCCAACTTCAATAAATTGTTTCAATCTCTCTCAACCGCAGAAATAAAAAGAGAGGTAATAAACAATATATTTAATAACTACATGGTATCACGCCATGTTTATCTAGCACATACATTATTTTTGTTAATGCTATCCACACTACTACTAGTCGCCAGAAGAAACTTTACGTGACACCGTCCACAATAAAACGTCGATAATTCAAATGTTGAAAAACCTGAGAAGAAGCCGACATCAACTCGAAAAGAAACATTCAGTGGTTAGAGGAAAAAAGCATCTCACCCTTTATTGTATCCAGGATTGCTCTCCCTTTGTTGTTAGGAACCCTATGAAGAACATACTGGTATTCTTTTTCTTGGCAAATCAACTCTATTTCTAATTCGAGACCTTTAGAACAATCCTTGCTTTATTTTCGCCATCTTTTCGTTGATGGACTTAACTCGTTCTGTTTGCTGCAGTTACTCAACACAAGCAACTAATCTGTTAACATTGGAAGTTGTTAGCAGTCAACGACCCGAAATTTAAATGCTGTAAGACATGAACAAGGAAGAGCCAATCTTTCCTCAATTCATGTATAATGCACAGTTATTGTATGTAATGAAAATCTCGGTATCCATGTTCTCATGGCCGCATGAACGACTAGAAGACCCAATTTGGAAGTTTCCCTAAAAAGGAAACGTCAAGTTGAGATGCAATCTTTGCATTGTTGCTGCCATCGATCCACTTTCATACTTTGACAATACAGTCATCTGAGTACAATAAACATTTATTACTGTCAATCAAACAGAGCAGCAACATACGACCCGCACATGGAAGGCGACGAAGATGACAACTCTTCCTCGAAAGAGAGGTCTTGAGGATCTTCAAAGACCATGTTCTGTATTCGTTCCTGAGGTATTACACATGGAAGCATGTAATACTCTTCAAAATCTGTGTTCATGTCTATCAAAGAAGGAGTTGAAGACTCTACATCAAATTCCAAGGTTATACGTGGACCAAGAAACCTAACAAACGGCAGCATGTCTTGGGGAATACACAAGGTAGTGTATTGAACAGCTCTTCTAAATCCATGTTAATGACTTGACCCGAGTGTGAAAATCGTTGTGTTTCTTTTTTTTTTCTTTGTTTTCTCATATTTCCAAAATGTAAAGATCATCTTTCGTTCAGACGTGTGTGAAAAAACAAGAATGGGGCTCTTTGGAAGAGTATATCATTGGATAGTGGTACCAGGAAAACCTTCTCGTTATTAACATGATATGTTAATCGAGCAATCATCCACGACCTGTAAAGCAGACGTGGCTGACTCAGTTGAACCCGGTTAACCAGGAAAATTGTAAATGATCTATTTTGAACCTTTTATAACACCAAGTTAGATGTCATAGGTTCAGTGTTTTGTGATCATGATAAGGGGTTCTGAAGAAAAGCTGTTCTCAATGCACCTTTCTGCATTTTAAACGTGTGTTTAGTTACAACATTTGAAATTTACATGAAAATGGGAGTCGTACTTTCTGAAACCATTAACCGTTCTAACTGTCTAACTTCTCAAAACGTTGGAGAAATCCAGCACTTTTTAAATAGCACTGAAAGATGGGCATCAACTTTAAAAAAGAGTATCATTGAATGCTGCAGACTGCTTCTGTTCCGCTATGGAGCTCCGTTTCATTCAACTATTCTCATCAAGGTTGTTGCAAAGTTTGACCCAACTGTTCGGAAGCAAATTAATCCTTGTTTTCCTATCGGGTTGTATTGATTTACTTGGTTTTCCAGAGCAACAAAGACTGTCACTCCTCCACCAGTGTCATTACCGCTCCATTGCACACTTATTCCTTTCCCTTCTCCACACTGTCTGAATTACCCCTCCCCTGCACAATCAGGGGGATGCTCAACTATGACAACGTTGCAGCTCGTTCATTACATTTGCGAAACCTTTTCTCAAATTTGAGCGGAGTTGTTCAACATCATAGTGAAACGTTGTTGTTTATTATTACTATTGTTTGTCGCTTGATCCAATGTCTAACCAAAGTAACTAAATTGAATTTTTTGCTGTCATTCCAAAAGACCAACAATGTCGATAGGCACATTGAAGGGGACATAGGAGATGAACAAGCGTTGTCCAAATCAACAAAGATCAAGCCATGTAATCTTTCCTGTGGTGTCACGAACGGAAGCATGAAATATTCTTCAACAGCTGTTCTCGTGTCTTGGAAGTACATCATGTCAGCATTAGGTGACGATTGAGAAACGACATCAAACGCCAAGAATAACTCTTCCCCGACAAACCTAAGAAACGGAAGTGTCTCCAGAGGTATCACACACGGTAGTGAGTTGAATAATTCTTCAAAATCCATGGCCTTCGGGTCTTCAAGTCACTTTGGCAAGAGGAAATGAATTGGAAATAATTTTTGATGTGTGAAAGTTGTTGATTTTGGGGACTTTTTTTTGGCTCTCAAGAATGAACGATTTCAGCGAGTGTCTGTAATAACCTTGTTTGGACAACACCGAGTCAAGAAAAGCTAGGATCATTGGAAGTTTATTTGCAACATGCAGTCGTTCAGGTTGTCAAGATTACCTAACGATGGTCATTTTGATGATTTATCAAAACAGTGGGTTTACAACGACAACAATGATTCCGCAAGCGACACGTTGTCCCAAAAAGGAGTTGCAACAGGCACCTTTGGTGGCACTTGCCAATTTATTGTTCATTATATAAACTTCGTCTTGCTCAATTGGAAAAGCAAACGAGCGACTTGGAGTCGGCCAAAGGAAATTGTTTGAGATTCTTTCTGGACAGTGTTCTTCTTTGCCTTTCTTCCAACTCCCACTTCATCGAAATCATTGTCTTCAACAATGGTAAGTTTCAATTCTATCCTCACAGTAAAAACATACTCGATTTATGCTGCTTTTTGACAATGGATGGCTGAGTTGTGTGTTCAAGTATTGCACTGTTGCATGGAATCGAATGTTTGGCGCCCAATTCTACATTTTGCGCCTTCAAATACAACAAAAAAAAAACCTCATCTTCACCATCGAATACATTACCTCACCAACATACATCCTCACCCAATCATAACAAGATGCAAAAATACGCCACCAAGAAAACAACCACCGGAACTACAAGCGGAAGTAGCAAACAAAAGGTACAAATTGAACTCACAGATGAGCAACGACAAGAAATTAAAGAAGCCTTTGATTTGTTCGATATGGACGGATCCGGTAAAATTGATGCCAAAGAACTGAAGGTTGCTATGAGAGCTCTCGGTTTTGAGCCCAAAAAGGAGGAAATCAAGAAGATGATTTCTGGAATTGATAACGGCTCTGGTAAAATAGATTTTAACGACTTCCTGCAATTAATGACTGCAAAAATGAGTGAAAAGGACTCCCATGCGGAAATTATGAAAGCCTTCCGTTTGTTTGATGAAGATGATACAGGCTACATAACGTTTGCCAATTTGAAGAGAGTGGCCAAGGATTTGGGTGAGAACATGACCGATGAGGAGTTGAGAGAAATGATTGAAGAAGCTGATCGATCTAACTCGGGACAAATTTCGAAAGAAGATTTCCTCCGTATCATGAAAAAGACCAATCTCTTTTAATTTGTAATTTGAATCTAGTTTGAATTGCAATCATTCTCTTGCATGATTCCGAATGTCATTCTCTTCATCCAATAACCAAAATCATTTTTTTATTGGAAATGATAATTTTGTAAATTTATTTTCAACGATCGTTCCGAACGAAGAATTAATTTAATTTCACATGCTGCCCAACCACCATCAATAAACCTGTTTTGTGATGAGCATCTATTCATTAAAAGCTTTGTGATGATACCACATCCAAGGAGGGCAGCCGACTCCCAAACATGTTTTTAACCCAATCCCAAAAAAAATGCACAGCAGCAAGGCACCCAAGATCAACACTCCAACCTATCAAAATGCCAACAAGGGTGTCTCGAACCAGCAGCAAGAACAAGAACAGGACTTGAAAAAACTCGAGCAAATGTACAAACATAAATTCAGTTGGATGGATGATAGTGTGGATATTCGGGATGAATGTCCCATGTGTATGCTCTACATCAATTCACCTTGTTATGAGACTTTTATGGAATATAACAAGGCTGACGATGACAAAACTGAATTCAAGACCTCTCTCCGACAAGCATCGGAATCATCCAAGGACAAGGAAATGGAATACAAGTTATATGTCAAGAAGGCCGATCTAGCTTGGGATCGTTTGATGAAATGTGTAACTCCTATTCAATCCACATTTTTGCACAGACAAGATGAATTACAGACTTATATGAAATCAGTCAAGGAATTTGAAAAGGAAGTCTTTAAAAACAACAATTAATTGGATTTGAAAATTAATTCAATATATTTTCATCAATTAATAATTTTTTTACTTGAAAAGGGACAAACGGAACAACTTTTTGTATTCATGATGTGATTTATACAATAATTAGAAATATTTTATAGTGGGAGTTTAATGTCTAGAGAGAGTGAACCGGTGCCTGCTCAATTCCATTTTTGTGGAATTTCACCTGGATAGGAATGTTGTGAATGATTGAAATACATAATTTTCAAATTTGACTCATAATGAATGGGTATGTGTCTTTTTATCGAAATTTCATAATCATCTCAATAGCCATGGAGTCGAGAGATAATGGCCGTTCTTTCTCCAGATTATATATTGGAGTTGCACTTAGCCATCAAATAACTGAAATCATCTCGTTTTTCTTTTGCGTATCTCTGTCTTCTAAGGCAAGTTTATTTCTCAACACCGACATTTATCATTATCATGGCTGAGGGAAGGACGAATCTGTAAAGCTTTCGGTGTTGTATGCACAAATTTTAAGATCAAGTCATTCAAAACCACAACTGGCCGATGCAAATTCATGTGATCTGGTCATTTCTCAGCATGGTCGCGTGTTAAAAATGCTTGTTGGCAAATTGGTCAACTTGTCATCTCTCATCAAACCATTTTGAATATTTGAGGCCAAACTGTTGTTGCGCATACCAAACCAAGGTCTCTAGTAATTTTTGACACGACGAAATGGGAACCAGTTCAAGCAAATTCGCCTCGAGTCGGCCCTCTCTCTCTGCAAAACATCAAAAAAAACAAGCGTCATCCCACACACAATTGTTTGACACTTCTCAGAAATGCCAGAACAAATTACTTTGGGCAGCACAACCGCTGCACGTAAAGTAATTGGCTTCAACCTTTCTCTTTTGGTACGTAATAGTAGACTCGTGAGCGTAAATTGTGTTAGGAAGATAACAATTCGTTCTATTGTATGAATATTCTCTGTGCTAATTAATAATTTGATTTCAATGGACAACGACGACGTTCTATCTGGACACTATCTTGATATCAAAATTGAATTTATTGGATCACGCAATGAACGACTTTGCAATGATGATGACCACGACTCGATATCTTTCAATAATGATTTGCTATTGTTATTATTGGATGGCGTTATGTGGTTGGGCATTTGAACAAATTTGGTCAAAAATACCAAACGCCTGAAACCTCTCTTGACGACTGACAATTCCCTGCATGTACCCCACACACTCACTGCACCCATCTGGTTCATTTGAATTCGTTGCATGTTGTTGTTGGGTGACCCAACACTCATCTCCGTCAATGCACCTCCATCATCCATTCTCTCTCTCGTTCTTAGAAAGGAGGCACTATCACTCAAACCATTGTTGGTGGTATTGTCTCGGCTCTCGTCGTCGTTTCAGTCGTGGCCACCATCATCATGGTCACTGTGGGTGCTGGTTATGAACCACCCAAATTGAAACCAGATCATTTACAAGCTTTCAAACATGTGAGTTACATCATTACCCCACTTTTAAATGATGTCGATCCAAAAGCAAATAACCTTACACTCGTCAATATTACTCAACCATTATATGGTACTACCAAGTTAATTGGTGGTAATCGTGTTCAGTACATTTCCAACAAGTATTATGCAGGTAATGACTCGTTCGAATATACCGTATCGAATGGTTATGCCTATGCCTCAAGTGTTGTTACGATTGAAGTTTTGAATAGACCTCCAGAACCAATTCCAATCTCTATTCAAGTTTCGAAGAATTCAAAGAATAATATTATTGACTTGTTCAATTACGTGAGTGACAGTGGTGCCAGAATTAATGACATTGACGATGATATCTTGACCATTGTTGGAGTTGGAAATACCACTGTGAAAAACGCTCAAGTCAACATTGTAGATGCTCTCTATTTAACTTATACTCCACCTGCTGGTTTTAATGACATCGATTCGTTTGAATATACCATTACTGATCGAAATACGACTGTCTCTCAAACCATTACTGTTGAAGTTATCAATGATGCACCTGTTGCAACTCCAGATGACATTACTGTTCCTAAAAATAAGGTCTCTAGTCTCGATTTACTTTCCAATGACTATGACATTAATAATGATCACATTTTCATTCTTGGTAACATGTCAGGAAGTGGTTCTAAGGGAACTGTTGTTTTTTCTGACGATGGATTGAAAGCTCAATACTACCCTCCAGGTGATACTCATGTGTTCATTGACAGTTTTGAATATACCATCACTGACGGAAGTAAGATGTCTTCGACCTATGTCTTTGTTCGTGTGAAGAATACTCCACCTTTCTCACCTGATCAAACCATTACCATTCCAAAGAATTCTCTCAATAACAATATTCCATTAGATTATCAGGAGAAGGATATGTTGGATACTGTCACCATGACTCTTATTCAAAAACCTGTGAAGGGTACCTTCCAATTACAACAACTCTCTTCCATTAATCCAGTGAACTATTTGGGCCAACACTGGGTCAATGTTCCTACCAATTCCTATAATTTAATTTATTCGCCACAAAGTGGAATGGTCTATACTGAAGTTGTCAAGATTAAGGTCGACGACGGTTATGATTCGATGATTGCCACTCTCACTCTCAATGTTGTGAACACTCCACCAGTCACAGTCAATGACACCATTGTATGTGAAAAGAACAAACAAGTTACTTTGAACGTTGTTGAAAATGACTATGACCTTAATGGTGACACTATTTTGTTGAGCACTGATCCAAGTGATTGGGTATTGAGTGAGAACAATGCAACTGTTTCTCGTGTCGACAATAATGTGTTGCAATACACTGCCAAATCTGGATTCTTGGGCAATGATGTGGCCACCTATGTCGTCACAGATAGTAACTCGGATGGTTCCAATGTTGGTGTTTTGAAAGCTACTGGTTATGTCCATGTTCAAGTAGTGAACACACCTCCTGTGGCTTCAGACAAGACTTTTACTGTTCCAAAAGGAGTTGTCTCAACACTTGATGCTTTGCAAGGTGATTATGATCCAAACTCTGATCCTGTCGATTTTAACTCAACCACTGCAGTGATTGTCACTCCTGCTGGTGTTTCAGTATCTGTGAATACAACCTCTCAACCAAGAAACATGTTGAACTATCCTGCTTTAGATGCTGTTTATCAAGACAAATTCACTTACACCATTCGTGATGTGGATGGAGCCACTGCCTCTGCCATTGTCACTGTTCATGTTGTCAACACGGCTCCAGTTGCCTTTGATGACTCTGCAACCACTAAATGGAACAGAAGTGTGGTCATTCATGTATTGACCAATGACTATGATCAAAATCCTGCGATAGATCCAAATTGTTAGTTCAAACCATCACTCCTGTGAGCGTTTCTGGTGGCGTTGCTTCATCGTTCGACGGTGGAAAGAGTATTTTGTTCACTCCTGAGCCAGGATTTGTTGGAACTTACACGTTCAAGTATACCATTACAGACTCTGATCTCGAAAGTAATGCTGCAACGGTTGTAGTCACTGTTGAGAACAATGCTCCAACGACAAGCAATGTGGTCGCCACAACTCACTGGAGAGACACCTCTGTGATTGTTCCAGTGTTGGAAACATCGAGTGATGTTGATTCTGATCCACTCCACATTGAATCTGTGACTCAACCTCCAAAGGGATCAGTTTCCATTGTCAAACTCGGCGATGGATCTGATGCTTTGAAGTATCAAATTTCTGCCTCCCAAGCATTTGTTGGTGAAGAGACCATGACCTTTGTTGTTTCTGATTACTCTAAAACAGCTAGTGCTACCTTGAAAGTCACCGTGACCAATACGAATCCAGTGGCTCAAGACGATGCTGTGACCTTGCATTGGTCAACTCCTTCACTCACCATTCCTGTGCTAAGCAATGATAGGGATGACAACAATGATCCATTCTACATTAAGGATCTCAATCTACCAACTCCATTCTATGGTTCTTGTGTCAAGACTGAAAGTGATTCCAAACTGTTGTTCACACCAACGGCTCAATCGAAAGGTTATCAAGTGATCACATACACCATTACCGATGGACAAGGAGTTAGTGCTCCAGCCAATGTTGGTATTAATGTCACCAATGCTAACAAGCCATCAGATTTGACCATTTCCAAGACTGTCCATTGGTCCACACAAACCGTTGGTACCAAGATTACCTTATTCTCTCAAGCTCGTGACGCTGATGGAGATTTGTTGAGTATTGATCTTGCAAATTCACCTGTTCAAGCTCCTTCCTCTGGTGCATTGAACATGTCGAATGGTGATTCCAATAACTTGCCCTATGTGACTTATCAACAACAAGCAGGTTTCAAGGGTAATGATGTATTCAAAGTTAAAGTGACCGATGGAGCCGATACTGCTGTTTATACTGTGAACATGAATGTTTACAACAATGCTCCTGTATTAACTGCTGCTTCTACTTCTGGTCACTTTAATGTCTTCGCTTCAGGTTTCACAGTAGATGCCATTCAATTGACCAAAGCTTCCGATCTTGATCCAGAGGATACTCTTTCCCTTGTTTCCATTACTCCATCCCAATATGTCACACGAAATGGTAATCAAATTACATTCCTTCCTGTTGCTCCATTCACAGGTACTAAGGTCTACACGATTGGAATTAGTGACGGTTTGGAAACTACGACCACAACATGGACTGTCACTGTTCAAAACGTTGCACCTGTTGCTGCAGTCTTCCCAACCACCATTCATTGGTCTAAGGGTTCTGAGGTCATTGATGTTCTTGCTAGTATTACCGATGCCGATGTAGATGCTGTGAATATTACCTCTGTGAGCAGTGCTTCATCAATCTATGGCTCTCCATCCATCATTGTTGCTGGAAAGCAATTCATTAAGTGGACTCTTCCATCTCCAACTGTTTCCATGTTAGGAAGTACTTCATTCACTGTGCAATTCACAGACGGATGGGCAACTGGTAGTGCCATCTACGCTGTCACTGTTCAAAACAATGCTCCAACTGCCAAGGATATTTCAGTCTCTCTCCACTGGTCTCGATATGCCACTGGTGTTTTGATTAATCCAATGACAGATGCTTCAGACCTTGATTCACAAGATACCATTACTTTTGCCTCAACTCCATTCTCTGCACCTTCTCATGGTACAGTTGAATTGAGTGGTAGTGACAAGTTGTTGTACAAGCCAACTGCAACCTATGTGGGTAGTGATTCTTTCACATTTACTTTGACTGATGGTTTACAAAGTGTCACAAAGACAGTGACCGTTGCTGTCAACAACCAATTGCCAGTGTGTTCTGCCGATTCGATTAGCATCCATTGGAACACTTCCTATGTAGATATCTCTGTTTTAGGTAATGATTCAGATCCTGACACTGAAGATTCTCCAAAGGTCAAGATTGGATCTCTTTCCACACCCACTCAAGGTTCTGTTTCTCTCCAATCGGACACTCTTGGAATTATTCGATACACTCCAGCCACAATTCCAACTCTCACTTTGGGTACAAAGACTTTCACATATAAGGTGACTGATGGTGCTCAAGATTCTCTCAATTCAGCTCTTGTTTCAGTACAAATTACGAACGCACATCAACCTTCAGCTCCTGTCTTGTCAAATTCTATTCACTGGAGAGAAGCTTTGAATGGAATTACATATTCTCCATATAGTGCAGTCACTGATGCCGATGGTGATTCATTGACACTTTCTTTGGGTTCAACCAATGATGGCAATTCGTACAGCATTGAGGGCGCTAGTGGAACTGTTCAATCCATCAAATTTATCAAGAATACTCCATATAAGGGCATTCAAACATGTACTTATTCATTGAGTGATGGATTTTCTACTGCATCATCAAGCATTACCACCACTGTGACCAATGATGTTCCAACCGCTCAAGATATTAATCTTAATTATCACTGGTCATTGATTGGTACTGGTCTCACGATTAACATTATTCAATATTCCACTGATAACAATTTGGCTGATATTGCATTCCTTAAGGTCAACTCTGTTTCTGCTTCAAATCGATATGGCGATTGTGTCTCCATTAGCTCAGATGCCACCAGTGTTCTTTACAAACCAAGTAATTTAGTTGCTGGAGAAGATTACTTCACTTACACCATTACTGATGGTCTTGACGTTTCTATTGCTTACAAAGTTACTGTGAATATTACAAGTACGACAGCCAATCCATCCGATCAATTCTACAATGTGCATTGGAGAGCATACGCAACACCAGTCGTGTTCCCAGTCTTGCAAAATATTAGCTCGGGCGGTGATGTATTGAACATTGACAGTATTTCACAAAATCCAAATCAAGGAGGTTCTGCACTCATTACCGATTCTCAAACGACCATTACTTATTCACCACTTCAAGGATTTATTGGAACTGAGACGTTTGTTGTGAGATATCGACTTGGTTTGAGCTATTCTCTCATTACTGTCACTGTTAATGTTTATGACAATGCTCCAACTGGAACCTCAAAGACAGCTACCACTCACTGGAGAACTCCTGTTTCCATTAATTTAATGGCCAATGCCACCGATGTCGATTCAGCAGATGTTCCATTCTTGACTGCAACTTCTGCAACGAGTCCATCCAAGGGTAGTGTTGGTAGTATTACTTCTGGTTTCATCACCTACACACCAGAGACCACTGTTGGTGCTTTTATTGGTACTGCTACTTTCAATTACAAGATTTATGATGAAAAATTGTATTCATCCTATGTTCCTGTTTCCGTAATTGTCACCAACTCTGCACCAGTGTCTGGCTCTAAGAGTATGAATGTCTTGTGGAGCGACTTTGTGAATGGAAAGGAAATTAGTGTACTCACATTGTCTCCTGCTGACAGCGATCCAAATGGAGATCCAATTCGTGTGAAGAGCTTTGGATCTATCTCTAGAGGAACTGTGGTTGCAAAGACTGGTAATACCAACATTGCAGTCGTTAAGGGCGTCAGTGGTGAAAAGTATTTAGGTCCTGTCACATTCTCATATGTCGTTACGGATGATGCCTCTAATGGTGATGTCACTTCTTCTGTAAACTTGAACATTTATAACAACAAACCAGTAGCAAATCCTGATTCTATTACCACTCATTGGAACCTTGCATATGTGGATATTGATGTTCTTGCCAACGATAATGATCCTGACTCGAATACATTGAGTATTACAAACGTTTATGGATCCTCTGCAACAACTGCTCCAACCATTACTGGTGGAAAGATTAGATATTATCCAAGAACTGCTTCTGTTGGATCTGTGGATACATTCAAGTACGAACTCAGTGATGGTGTTCAAACCTCAGAAGGAACTGTCACTGTCAACGTCACAAATACCAAACCAACCACTCAATCGTACAGTCAAAGCGTTGTGTGGTCTGTTGCAAAGAATGGACTCACTTTCAACGTCGTTCAAAATTCAGCTGATGCTAACGGTGATGCCCTTTCGTTGGTTGGTTATACTTCAATCACAAGCGATCAAGGTACATTGTCAACTGTTGGAAGTGGATCCACAGCTCAAATTCGTTTCGTTCCAACATCTGGCTTCACTGGTCCAGTCACACAAATTGTTTTCACCATTACTGACCAACGTGCTACAGTTACTGGAACGATTGACATTACTGTCCTTAATAATCCTCCAGTCATTAACACTGCTGCTTTCACTTATCATTGGAGACAAGCACTTCAAACCAATACTATTAATTTGGCAACTAGATATTCTGATGCTGACTCTGATTTCGTGAATACGACTCAAGTCACGAGCGCAGGTAAAGGAAACGTCTACTTGTCAGCTGTGAACACAGTGACTTACAAATTATCATCAGCTTGGAAAGGAAGTGATTCCTTCTCAGTTCTAGTCACTGATGGTTGGACCACAAAGAGTGCCACATTCCCAGTGACTGTAACCAACAATGTTCCAGTAGCTTATGACATTACTGTGAATGTTCAACATACTGCTGCTTCCTCGATCAACATTCCTATTTTGACACGATCAGACTCTCTGAAACCAACAGATGCTGACTCTGCTGATTCATCTCTTCTCACTGTTTCTTCATACACAAGTCCCGCAGTTGGTACTTTGACTTATTCTGCTGGTGCATTCACTTATCAAAATCCACAAGGAAATTTGCAAACCAAGACCTTTACTTACACCATTTCTGATGGATTTGAAACTGTGACCAAGACCATTACGATTAACATTCTCGATCAAGCTCCAACAGCTAATGCAGTTTCAAAGACCTCTCATTGGAGACTCGTTCAAAATGGATGGGATTTGAACTTTATTACTGAATCAGGTGCTTCAGACGCAGATGGTGACACTTTGACCATTAGTGCTTTCACTCAACCACAATCTGGTGCTGGAACTGTTGCTAGAAAAGCTGCTTCTCTCACGAACTTGATTTACACTCCACCTGCTGGTGTTGCTCCATTGACAGCTAATTTCAAATTCACCGTTTCAGATGGAAGTCTTAGTGTTGAGAAGAATTGTCAAATTACACTCACTAACACAGCTCCTGTTGCCAATGCAGATGTTTTAATCAAGTCATGGAAACAAACGACATTTACCATTACTCCACTCACCAATGACAATGATGCCAATTCAGATCCAATCACAATCAGTAGTGTGGATTCAGTATCACGTAATCGAGGAGCTGCTTTGACTGTTTCTGCCGATAAGACCTCCATTACTTATACGTATGCTGGAAGTGGTGCTACTGGAAATGATACGATTAGTTACACCATTACTGATGGTGCTGCAACATCCACTTCTACCATCACGATTGTGTTCACAAATACTGAACCTGTGGTCACTAGCTTCAATAAGGTGATCAAGTGGAATTCCAACTTTGTGGAGAATTCATTATTGTCAAGATGTTCTGACGCAGATGGTGACACTGTTACTTTTTCAGGAGTGGTTCAAGGAACCTTGGGAACTACTGTGGTCAATGATGCCTCAGTTGGAAAGATTACATACACTCCAAATCTTGCCATCACGTACACGAACAAACCTGTTGGATCCAGATGGGAAGCATATGACACTGTCACATTTAAATGTACCGATGGACTTGCAGAAAAATCAGGAACCATCTCAGTCACTATTTGGAATACTCCACCTCAAGGTTCAGACAAGAACGGATCATTTAATCGACAATATTCGAATCCAGTCGTATTAATTCCATTCAGTACGTTGTTGACAGGTGCATCAGATGCTGATTCAGATTCATTGACCATTTCATCGGTTCAAATGTATGCTGGATCTGACAGCTCTTCATCGGTCATGATTGAATCTGGTAATGTCAAGTTCACCTATGGTCAACAATTTATTGGAACTCAAAAATTCTACTTCTCGATTAGCGACGGTCAATTGTCAACGACTTACACTTACACAATCACCATTGTCAACTCTTTCACTTGTATGGATTATACCATCACAACCACAAAGGACAGTGCTGCCACTCAATTCGAAGATTCGATTAAGGCCGCTTGGGCAGCTCAATTTGGTACTGAACCAATTACGATCACGATTAGCAATACTGCCACGTTGAACTCTGTGGGTGACATTTCGACTGTGAATACTAAATTGACTTACACTCCAAATGCAAGACGATCATGCACAGGAAACGCATGTTATGCTTCCTTTGTCGTTAAGAATCAAGCTGCTCAATCTGCCACTTGTAAACTCTTTGTGAATCAACCCAACAAATCTCCAGTGGCATCCAATTGGGAATATGAATTCTCTATCCGAAGAGATGGTAACGATGTTCGAACATTTGATTACATCAAAGACTCTGGAGCTCAAGATCCTGACATTCAAGATTCTTTGAGCATTGCCATTGCAGATCCTGGAACTTGTGCAAGTGCTGCCACGAGCTTGTCTATTGTGAGCAATAAGATTTCCTTCACAAGAGCTAATTCATATATTGATCAACGATGTACACTCACTCTTACGGTAACAGACAATGATTTATCTTCTCCTTCCTCTGTGAGTGTCACAGTTGGTATTAAGGCCATCAGTTCTCCTCCAATTGCAGTCAATGATGAATTCTCAACCAAGTACAATACCTTTATTGATGTGACTGCATCCTCCTTGTTATTGAACGATTACGATCCACTTGGAGGCACTTTTGAATTTGTGAATATTTATTGTCCAGATTCCACTATTGTAAGAATGGAGTACCAACCATTTTGAATCCACTCGATTCTCCAAACAGTAGAATTATTCGTGTCTCTCCAAAGATTGGTTCATGTGAAGCTGAAAAGATTCAATACAAGATCAAATCACTTCAAGATGGTACAACAGCAACTGCAGACGTGGCGATCAAGTATACAGATTGTGTTTGTAGCAAGATCTTTGATCTTATCTTTGTTTTGGATGGTTCTGGATCCATTTCTGATACCAATTGGAAGAATATGAGATACTTTGTGAATAACATTACTGCTGGATTTAATGTTGGAAGTGATGCAACAAGAATTGGTATTGTTCAGTATGGTTCTACATCAACCCTTCACTTGTCTGTTGCTTCAGGAACATCAAAAACAACTGTAACCAATACCATGAACTCGATTGCTCAACTCAGAACAGGAACAGCTACTATTAAGGGTATCAATACTGGTATTGACAACATGGTGAGTGCTGGTAGAGCTTCTGTCACGGACAAGTTATTCATTCATATTACTGACGGAGAGAGTAATTATCCATGTTCATGTTCTGATTGTGTTGCACAATATGGATCATCTGCTACTTGTGTTTCTCCAAGATTCCCAGCGATGGATTGTGGCGAGTAAGTATTTCTTTCTTTTTTCAACAACATTTTTCGACCAAATTTATCGAATTTCACAAAATATTTTCCTAACAAATGATTTAACAAATTATTTTAATACAACTAATTTAATCATCCATTGAACACTACAACCAGTTGTGACTGGCAAAATGCAACTTCCAAGTGTCAACCATGTGCTGAAGCCACCATTCGTTCCTCTGAAATTAACTCATGGAAGGCAGGAAATCCAAACAATCCTGAATCAAGCAAAACATGGAATTACCGACAATTAGCCATTGGTATTGGTGCTGGTGTCACCTCTAACTTTGGTATGATGCAAATTCAAAAGATGAACTATGATCCATTGAAATTCTTCCTTGTCGATTGGACAGACTTGACCAACGTTTACAGCAAGGTCATTGATGAAGCTTGTAACACCATTCCATCCTCTGCCACTTATCAAAAGAGACCAATTAGTGATTTCGATTATACCATTACTTCATCTCGAAGTGTCACTACAAGAAGAGTCTTTGACGTGGATTATTCCTCTACAAAATTCACATATTCCATTACTGTTCCTTCGAGTTCATCCATGGGTGCTGTGAAACGATTTGCAGTTGCCAACTCGATCGATTCCTTCTCATACACTTCCTATTCACCATCCTTCCCCGTCTATTTAGGAAAAGATATCATTTCAGGATTGTCAGGTTTCATTTGGGAATCTTTACCAAATTCCAATATTGTTCCAACAGGAACCACAAAATCCTTCGCGTTGAGTGTGTGTGGAAATATTGCTGCTACCAATGTCAATTTCACTGTGGCTGGAGCTTCAACCTATGCCGTTTCTCAAATTCAAGGACCAATTTCTTCCTCATGCACCTACTTCCCACCAGCTGCTGAGGACGCTACGAAACGAGTCACATCATGTACATCGAGTAGATGTCTCTTACGAACTCAATTTACTGATTTCCTTAATTATGATCAAGTGGTTGCCATTTGTAAATTATGGAATCCAAATGGAACTCCTGTCACGATCAAGTCTGCCACTGAAAAGACCGAAGTCATGTCTGTGGCTAGTGGATTTGATTTCTTTATTGGTTTGTATAAGAGTGGAAGTTCTTGGAAATGGATTGATGGAAGTTCAGTTTCGTATACCGATTGGAAGAGTGGAAATCCAAATAATAACAGTCCAACTGATTACAATGATTTTAATGCAATTTCAGCTGGAAGTAGTTCTGGACAATGGGATGATGCACCTGCAATTTACAAGTACAAGACTGTTGTGTGTCAATACAAGTTGTAAAATGGGAATTTTTGGTTGAATAAAACACGTTCATATTTATTTCGTCATGATGAAACACAACACGACCTACCTACCGACCGTCCACAAAAAAACAAACAACATTAATACCATCACCCGTGTCACTTCCATGGTTTAGTATTTTTACAAAATTGACATTTATATCACATTATATTTGTAGTATTCGATTAAGTTCTAAAGCAACAATTTCTAAACACCTCAAGTGTGAATTTCAAAATTTGCTGAAAACACAGCCCCTATGTAGTATGAAGCAGAGGAAATTACTCAACACTCTCTGCATCTTGATGAAGAAATTCAAAATTTGCAAATCGTTGAAAAAACCCTCACTCATGTAGTATGTAGAATGAGCATTTCCTTTTTAAATAAAATCGTACAAAACTACAGAATGGGAGTCATAGTTTTGAAAAAAACACACCGTTTGGGCACATTTTGATTGACATGACTTCAAGATTTCCTTAATTAGTTAAGTTTCATTTAAAAGATCACCGTGTTGTGAAAATAAAGAGCTACTGTTAATAATGGAAGTTAATAGACGGTCTTTGTAGACGGTCTTTGTGGACGGTCTTTGTAGACGGTCTTTGTGGACGGTCTTTGTGGACGGTCTTTATGGACGGTCTTTGTGGACGGTCTTTTTGGACGGTCTTTGTGGACGGTCTTTTTGGACGGTCTTTTTGAACGACATCAAGAGTCATTAAGTCGTTACTCCTCACAGTTGAATTCGATAATTTAGAAGCAAAGCATTTGCTCAAACAACTTAAAGAAGTTCAGCAAGGGATTAACAACTACTTTTTATTACACTGTCCGATTAAAACTAGCTCTGTCGAATATTTAGCGAGTGATAAGGCAGTAATCCGAACCGATCTCAAATATAATCACTGCATACATGACACTATTTATAAACTCGAGAGAGTCGAAAAACCGAATGAACAAATCGACCCTTCTCAAAAGTACACAGTAGCCATACACTTCCATGACACCACTACCAACACTATTAATATTATACAACATACACCGAATACATCCACTACTACCGAAACGGATCTAAAAGCATGGTTACAAGGATTACATCCACCTGCACAGAATATTTCTGAAGTTAAATTCAGCAAACTTGGTCTTGTTGACGCCACCGCCACCGGTGCTGGCTATCTCTCATATTTTTCCAGTTACGCCGCTCATACATGCAACTCCAATTTAGAGGATATCAATGACGCAACTATTACTAATACAGACGATTGGATTGTAGTTGATGGCTTTCAGTGCTATTTAAAAAGTGCTGGATTTCTCCAACGTTTTGATAAATTACAGTTAGAACGGTTAATGGTTTCAGATAAGTACGACTCCCATTTTCATGTAAATTTCAAATGTTGTAACTAAACACACGTTTAAAATGCAGGAATCCCTCCCACCACGTGATGAACAATAAAAAACATCAGTCACAATCAATTTATTTTCAAAACAATGGACGTGTCCTTATTATTGTTCGTCCGTTCATTATTGGTTGAGGTATTCCTTTCATTGTTGTTACTGTCAAAACATGGATCAGTCTTTCTTTCATCACGAATAGGCCACAATTCCCTAAACACTTGTTGATAACCATCCAAACCTGCTTGAATGAGCTTTTTGTTGAATTTTTCATGTTCAAACTCGAGTTTTAAATCATGAAAAGCAAATTCTATTGCTCGAGAGCAATGATTCACTGCTTTCTTGACAATTTCTCTATTTTTCTTCAAACGCAACGATGCAAATCGCAACGCTCGGCCATTCTGAGAAACTGCTGCAGAAACCACTGAAAATTTATCTCGTAATCTCCGAGAAGCATATTTCAGAAAATAACCATCACAAGTGTATAATAAATGCATCATGATGGCTTCATCATCCGAATAAGGAAAAGGAGCAAGTTCAAGATGCATTTGAAAAAATTTGTTGATCATTTCTTCCTTGTGCTGCACCCACTCGGGTTGTTGATCTTGTTTCCATAATAATTGTTGGCAAATCCATCTTTGTTGAAGTTTTGCGAAATAGTTCCATCGGAGAATCATTTGTTGAGATTTGTCATGTTGAGTCTTTTGAAGGTATTGCAAGAGTGTATGGATGATGTAGAGGAATCGTCCAAGTCATTCTCTGAATGTACCACTAGATCAATAAGAATTATTTTGGTGCAATTTCGTTCCATGCCAAACTTTTTTTTGAAAATTGAAAATTGAAAATTGCACTTGTTGTTCGTTGTCTACTTTTCAACACAATCATTCCTACAAATTGAAATTGCAGTATTGCTTGAAAATTAATATTATTATTATTTATTCGAAATAATCATGAAAATTCAACATTATAATCTCTTACTTTTCCATCTTGTCTGTAATATCTTCCTCATATTCAGGATTCTTCTTGACAATAATGACATGATCCATGGTGGAGCTTAATGGTAAATATTCTTCTGAGGCAAGTTCAGCTCTCTCCTCATATTGCAACACCACTGGTGATTTGTGAGTTTGGAATCCAGTGATCGTTCTTGGCTTACCAGCTTGGGCAACCACATCCACAGCTTGACCTACTCGAACATTGGCTGGAACAGGTTCCAAATTCTCGTCAACTAGAATGAGCATTCTTGGATACATGGCTGTTGCAGCTGTATATAAAAGATAGTGGTAATTGCCTAAAACAGTACTCTTCATGTCAAGTCCAGTGAAACATAAAGCAAGCAATCCACATAATTGTGACCTGGACAAGATGGAACGATCAGAATAGAATGGGTTCATGGTGACGAGACCCTTACCAGCTGAGAGTAAACCTTGTGCAATTCGAACTACAAACAAGTGATTTTGTTCTTTGGCATAGTATGATGATAATTGTCTGAGTAATTGAGCAATACGAGCATTGTTGGTACCTGCTCCAATTAAACCCAAGGCAAAGATGGCGTTTTGTGACAATTCAACATCATTGTCGTGTGACAACTTGCTGAGAGTGTCCATGGTTGACATTTGTGGATTCGAGACACTCAACAAGCCCAATCCGAGAGGAACTGCTCTTTTCACTGCAATTTCAGAATATTGAAGCAAGTGACCAAACGATCTCACAGCCATTTCAACTCCTAAATCCTCACCCATGCAAATAATAGAAATACCCAAAGCAGCAACTCCATAATAAGTGTTCATGAGAGCATCCTCGGTCTTTTCTTCCTTCTTTTCTTGAGAGGCTGGTTGTGAAGAAGATGTGCCAGCACCACCACCGCTGCTTGGAGTACTGCTGCCGCTACCTTTACCTCCACCATTGGCTTGTGTTGCCTCACCTTCCTTCTTTGATGGTTTTTCAGGATGTTCTCCGCAAATCTTGAGCAATTGTTGAATCTTTAAAACGTTACCAGTTCCACAGTAAGCACAAACTTCAATGGTGAGGGTGGCAAATCTTGCCAACTTGGTATTGCTGCAAACAGTCATCATGGTTGTACACACTGTTTCGACAGCTTCTTGTTGTCCCAAACCTAAGAGACCGAGACCCAATGCTAGGAATTTGGCCAATGGATGAGTCAAGTCCTTTTCACTTCTCTCCAAATAGACTTGAATGATGCAATTGGTCACATCTTCATTCAAGGTTCCAACAAAGATCATACCCAAAGTCAAAGCAGTGAATGCAACAACTTCCATTGGTTGCTCAGCATCGGCAAGGATGGGCATTAACAATTCAAATACATCGTTATGGGCACTTCCAGCATAGGCAATTCCAAGACCTAAAATTGTGGCCATTCGGACCTCTCGGGAGGCTCCTTCAATGTAACTTTGGGCGAGGCAATAGGCAGCATCGTCCTGCACTCTGAGACCTGCGTTCATGATACCTGCTGCCAACAAGGCTCCTGCCTTAATATTGTTATCATTGTTGTCGACATAATTATTCACTTCGTTCAAACCTTCAACGTGATTCCACAAGTAAATCATACCCAAAGAAGCCACAGCACTGAGCATACCGAGATCCTTATTCTTGTAGATCCAATTTTCTTCTGACTTCATCAACTTGTCGGAACTGAATGCAGCATTGGCGAATGCATTGACAAACGATGTGGCAAGATTTTGACGAGCAGATTCGACATTTTGTGTCAATGTTGATCGTGTCTCTGTGAGGTGTGACTTGTAAATATCTTCAGGAGTCTTTGGCTCGAGTGAGTCCAATTGCTTGGCCAAATATAAAAAGTATTCACTCAACTTGCTATTACCCATAATATCCTCTAATTCAAGTGCCTCGTTATCATCAATGTCAATATATTTGTGTTTTTCATCCATAGGTTTTCCTTCACTGATGGAGAATTTAAAGTTTCCTCTACTGAGCATGAATGCAAGTTGTTTCCTCATGAGTGCATCATCACATGTAAAGAAGGTCGCCTTGATCAATTCAGGATCATTCAATTGCATGGCAATTCGGAGAGCATCTGGATATTTTTTAAGCTTTTCATAAATACTGTACACAATTTTGAGGGTATCAGTGTTTTCTGGTTCAATAAAATACTTGGAAACACTTGATAAATAGAGACATACACGAGCATAGTTGGTCTCATCACAATAATCCACAATCTTGGATAACTTTTCAGTCTCAATCAACAAGTCACAAGCCTCAGGTTCTGATGCAGACTTCATGAAATATGGAACAATTTTGTTGACCAATGTGAGAATATCCATAATCTCTTCTGGTTTGAATTCAGTGTCAATGACCATGCTGTCATCTCCAGTTTCTTTGATAATTCGTTCTTGCATTTGAATCTTTTCAGAGAGTCTTGCTTGATATTCCTGACCAATTTCTCCAGCAAGAGATCTCACATATTCATGGCCCCATTTATCAAATTCTTCATCATCTCCTTCCAACATGTATTTCAAGCAATCACGTTCACCTTCATTAGACAAACTCATTCCCAACACGGAGAGAATGTTGGCAAAGAGAATCTTGTTTTCTCTTGGTGTATTTCTTTCATAGGCTTCTTTCAGAGAAGCATAATGTACTCGAAGGAATTTGAGTGGTTTGGGAATGGTCGTAACAGCAGAAGTCAAACTCTTTTTGAGTTCATCCTTGAGGGATTCTAAGCTTGTACGTTGTACCGATGAAGTGGAATTACAAATTTTGCCAACCAATTCTTCAAGATCGTCCTTCAATCGTTGGTCTTCTTCCGATAATTCGGGAGCAGCCAATACAATTTCGTCCTTCTTCTTTTGATCCTTTGCTGATGTTGTAGATTGGTCTTGTTTACTGGACATGATGTCGAAATGAATGATTGAATGGGAAAAGATTGATGATGTGTTGAAAGGATTGATCGGGTCGGCTGATACAACAAAATATACTCGCTCTAAAAGCTTAACGACCTAAAATTATAAGCTTATTTTTTTTTGTTTTGAATTTTTCAAAAGCATGATATTTTTAGTTTTTGTTTCCCGAGTCAAACTGGAGCGTGGCTCGATGAAGGCACAAACAAAAAATGATGAAGAAAAGAGTTCAGTTTTGTTGATGTGAATATGATTTTGGTCGTGTTCCTTTCACACACAATTGTTGTTGTCTTTTTCTTCCGAACCGTAAATCAATCAATGACGAGCTAGCACGAGATGAAGAGAGTGTCACAATTTCCAACAATTGGTGGACTTTCTATTCACACGTGTGTTGAAATAATTATGACAAAATAGATTTTAACACACATCGTACAGCAACAATGCTATCTATTGGAGGAGTGTCCTTTGTCAAATATTTAGAAAATATTGAACATATTTTTAAATAATAATTGAATTGAAAAATTGAAAAGGTCGTCCTGACAGGATTTTCGAAACAGAACCTGCGTTCATCATTTGGTGGTGAAATTATGGTTTTTTAGGAAATTTTCGTTCGGAACTACATGGCGCCACCCGAACGAGCATTTACACAACCGAAAAAAAACTGCTTTTATTATCGAGGTAGCCTCAATTTCTCAACACGAACCTCAATTTCCCATTCTCCCTCAACACGCGCTATTCGTTTCCAAGGCTTTTTCTTCCTGATACAACTTGGAGATACAGAATCATATCATCATTCCTCACTTGAAAATAACAACACGTGAAGGATTCGGAAACGACATTTTCATTCCCACCTCTTTCTCTACAATTTTCCGACGAGAGAAGTTCTATCTCTCTCTCAAGAACAACGCATATCTACTGACAACCACCTATCTCTTGCACAACACCTCATCAATACAACAACAACAACAACAAAATGCGAAACTCTAACGAATGGCAGGCGGGTTTTTCAAACGCACTACCAAAAAGATTTGAAAGTAGAAAGGCTTCAGTTGCATCCTACTCGAGAAGAGCCTCAGAGTTTATTAGCTCTCAAAATCAACCCGCAAATAAGAGATCATCTGGCTCGGAGGTTAATAACCAATCCTCGCAACAACAACAACAACAACCACAAACATTACAGGCTCAACAATACTTTCTCCTCTCACAGAGACAAGGATCTGTAGCATCAAGCAATTTTGACATGCCAAGTACCGTGGGTGGAGCCAGCACAGTTCAGCAACCGCACATGAACAATAGCACAATGCGGAGACTGAGCCACATTGAGCGACATAAATCAAAAAGTACAGTCTCAAAAACATCAACAGGAAGTGACAGGACAAAAAAGGGAACATTCTATGCAATCGAATCAAATTTATTCTTGTTCGTAAATTCCCTAAAATTGGAAAAGCCAATGAATAGGGCGTTGTATTTTTTCATTCAACTGATAGGCATTTGGCAAACATTGTCTTTGGGAGTTTCCATTGATTTTAATTGGGGTGAATATGGAAGATATTTCTATCATGCAATAGTTGCACCTAGAACATTTGGATTCCAATTTCTTCCCTACGATGCATTATTTGGGGTTGCCATAGCAGCTTTTTTATTGGACACGTTTGCATTATTCACTCTCTATCTCACTTATCGATCCTTCATTAATGGAAGCAAGTACTGGGCTCAAATTAAGGCGAGTGCACGATTTTCTCTTGCTATCATTACCATGATTAGTTTACCGGCCATGTACGTGATGCTTTCGTTTTGGAGATGCGACTACTCCCATACTGTCACGCTGGGCGAAGAGACGACCTACGTCCTTAAAAAATTTCCATCAACAGCTTGTTGGTCGGCAACGAATGGTGCAATGGCAGCAGTCTCAATTATTTTCATTGTATTGCAAACGCTAATGACCACATTCGCAATGCTCATTTTCTCAAACACCAGTATTTCGAGCAAGTCATTCTTTACAGTGGATACCATGATTCTAAACGTTTCAATTCAGGGTCTTAATCATATTTTTCTGTTAGCCTCACAATTGATTCCAGATATGTATTATTATATAAGGCCCATATTTTACATGGTAACATCTCTTTGCCTATTCTTAATTCTGGTATGGCAAACCCCTTTTGTATATAGATACATTAACTCTTTTTATGGAGGATTATTTATTGGACAAGTTGGAATTGGTATTGGTTCATTAGTGGCCACTCTGACCAACAATTCCGATGCTTGGGATGTTGGGCTAGGGCTTAGCTCTGGACCCATTGGAGGACTTATTTTAGGTTTCACAATAGGCTTTATTGGAGTGGATATTTATACTCACATTCTCAAAAGGAAAGGTAAAAAATTAATTGAGGGTGTGATGGAGTCACGAAATTTGGGAGACATTTCTGAGAGGGATTATTTTTTCGTGGGAAGATTTGTCAAATTTTCAATGAAATCGAATGATAAGGATCAAGCAACTTGTAACTCCTTCGTACGTCTCCTGGTCAACTATAAGGATCCAGTACCTACAGAAACTCTTATTACAACGGCCCTGTTCATGAAATATGTTCTTGAGAATCAATCGACAACGTTTGTGCTCATGCTCTTCAAGAAGGCTGAGCGACAAAACAATAACTTTCTCACCAGATTTAATATTTTCCTGAGATATCGAGAAATTGAAAGAGTGACATCAACAGGAAGAAATAATTTTGAAATTGATCACATTTTGGATGGAATTTTGAAAAGCTCAAGCCTGTTGAGACATTTACAAGTTCGATTTTGGAAGCATATTTCTTCAGGACAAGAGATCATCAACACAGTCATGCAAATGGAGGAAATCACCCGAGAGTGTGAGCAAATATTTAAAAACTTGATGTTCAATCACCGTGAAAACAAGACTGTCTTGCGAGCCTATGCAAGCTTTTTGGAAGAATTTTTGTTTGAACCCATCATGGCCGAAGAATTGTACAATGAAGCAAATATATTGGAAGAGGAAGAAGCCGAAAAGAGCAAGGTAAAAGTAAAAGCTCCTTCCAAGAACCCTCTTACCGCAAGCTTGTCAAAAGAAGAGGCAGTTGATTTACTCAAAATGGGAACAATGAATGAAGAAGAGTTGGCTCATTTAGAATCTGCCAGTCAGAATCACGCCGAAAATGATACAGATTCCAAATTGCAAGAGCAATACCGAACATCCATTAACAAGTTCGAGAGAAACGGCTTTGTTATAGTTTTTCTTCTTTCATTGGGTGTAATTTCCATTGTATACATGAGTGTCATCTTTGCCCTTGATTGGTCTTTCACTGGAAGAGTTAACGATGTCCTTCAAGTGGTCAATGATATTTGCCTCATAGCTCCAATCCCATACACCACTTTGGGAGATATTAGACGTGTCAATTTAGCTTTGACAACAACAGGCACAGTGAATAATATCACATATGACGAACACAAAACTCAAGTGAAACGGTTTACAAAAGATATCGACCACTTGGTTAGCATTGCTCGAGGGAATTTGTTCACCACCTCCATGAAAAATCGATTTACGGATATCGATAAGACATACAATGTATGTAGTTGGTTTCATATTTTGTTTACACATTTGACATATGTACAAATATTCCTATTTCCGAAACACTGGTATTAGGTTGCAATTACAAAACTTGAAAATGTCACAGGTCTTGAATTCTATTCCAAAAACGCGTCTGCATCCATGATCATCAATACTCTATCTACTTTAATGACGGAAATTAGCGAGTTCAACATCTCTTCCTACAATGAAACATACAAGAATTTTTATTTTTCCATGCTCTATGTGAACCGTATTACATTTACACATGCTCTGGAGAGTTTTTATAACGAAGTTATTGCAGATGAATTGAACACTCAACAGCAGGAAAATACTGTTTCAATTGTGGTCTTTTCATCGCTGACAGGATTTTTTGTTCTTTATGTTTCCATCTATCTGGTATTCATTTGGTATCATGTTAGGCAACGAAAATTAATCTCCAAATTATTCAACAAGATACCAACAACTGAAATTACTAAGATTGCTCACCATCTTGAAGCTAGTACTGATAACTCTGTTGTGTCGCAAAAGACATATGTACTCACTCCAACAAGATTGATGGTGTTTTGGGTCACAATGATTCTTATACTGACCACAATTGCTGCCATTCTCATCATGTATGAAGGACTATCACAACAAAGTAGCTCAATATTAATTATGAGAAAACTTAATTATTCAGCTAAACTCTTGATGATTACCCAACGTATGCAATTCAAAACTCAAGAATTAATTCAACCGGATTACAATGTTATTGGAATCGATCGACATCAATTTTACTCGGAGATTGGAGACCATCTAACTGAATTTTCAGAAATTTGGAATGCTCTTAGATATGGTACAAATGAAGACTCGTTCTATGCTCTGGGCTCATTATCTACCTCAATTAATGGTATTCTCATCAAGCCGTCCGCAAATTGCTCTGCCGTGACTCAATCCGTTAATTGTATGGGATTGGATGATATCATGAAAGAATATCACGATCACATCAGCAAAGCAAGAGAAAACATTTACAGGTATACTTTTACTCGTGATGTTTTATTGAAAGAGGTAGATTCCATGTACGTGTATGGAGACAAGATTCTTACAGACGTTTCATCGATCATGGATTTACTGGTCAAGTCATACACAGGTCAGGCAAAAGTAATGGGAGCTGTTTCTGCTGCCATTGCATTCATATTATTATTGTTCATCATTTATTTGTTGTACAGCGCCATTAATAAGTTTTCCTCTGAAAATCACCAGCTTAGACTCATGCTCAATCACTTACCAGCAGAAATTTTGGACACAGACAACGATTTGAGAAGCTACATTCTGTACAATTCTCTCAACAGTCACACGAAACATTTGGAAAAGAATAATCAACAGGATTCATATGAGAAGGCCATTCTTGAGGCTGCCGTTGCCGGCGCTGTCATTTGTTCTTCATACGGCTCCATTGACATTTTCAATGAATCTGCTCAAAAGCTGTTTGGGTACAGAATTGATGAAGTTATTGGAGTTTCTGTAACAAGCTTATTTTGTCCTGAAAGTAGAGGCACCTTGGAAAATGTTATTAACAATATGAGCACTAGTACCAAGTCGTACGGTGAAAATCTTTTTCTTCAAGGTCAGAGGAAAAACAGAACTCTATTCCCTATTCAACTTCGAATTTCTGTCACGAGCATAGATGGACGAAATATCATTTCATGTTTCATGACAGATCTCACCACAGATCGAGAGCACGACCAAATGTTAGCTGAAGAAAAGAAGAAGAGCGAATCATTATTGTTGAATATTTTGCCAGAGTCCATTGCCCATAGATTGAGTAATGGGGAGACATTTATTGCTGATAACCACGAAGATGTCACTTGTTTGTTTAGCGATTTGGTTGGATTTTTGGAAATTTCAGCATCAATGTCTGCGACAGAGTTGGTTCAAACCTTGAACATTATTATTAATGGATTTGATTCTCTCATTCCCAAATATCAGCTTGAAAAAATTAAGACAATTGGTATGTTTAAATTTTTCGTTTTGAAAATCTAATATTTCTATCATGCTGTGATTGGGTTTGTGAACAATAGGAGAAAAATATTTTTGTGCTGGTGGATTAAAAGTGAGAGCCGATGAAGGTGACAATCATGAGGAACGAGTGTTGAAGTTTGCAATGGAAATGTTCAGTGTTGTCTATAATTATAACGTGGACCATCATCATACTTTCAATTTGCGAGTGGGAATGCACTGTGGTGCCTTAGTTTCAGGAGTGATTGGAACGTTGAAATTTGCCTATGATGTAAGTTGTGTTCTACTGGCAGTATCTTTGCATATGAACACCCCAATTTCTTTACTTTCAATTCTTGTATCCAATATTGATATATCTCAAAACAGGTATGGGGCGATGCAGTCAACACATCAAGTCGAATGGAATCTACAGGTAAGACGGGTCGCATTCAAGTGACCGCTGCTCTCTACAAGAGATTACGAGGCAAATATCGTTTTGAAAAGTCAAGTGTTTTTGCCAAAGGAAAAGGAGAGCTCATTACTTATTTACTTGATGAAAAGTATTACCAGAATACATCTCCAGAAGCTCCTGCACTTGAAGCCTCCAATTATTTGAGACAACAAATTGCAACCACCAGTATTTCACAATCTGGATCCGCTGAAGATTTATCAGAAAAGAATTTTACCTCAGATGAAGAAGAAAACACCACCGTCAAGAGGGCAACTCCTCCACTTTCGCAACAACAAACGACAATGACAACAATGATAGCTACAAATCCATTAAGTCCATTGGTTGGAATTATTCGATCTGGTTCCAACTCTTCACTCGCTGATATTTCCAAACAACAGGGAGGAGACAAAAAAGACACGGCCAGTGTGGACTCTCGAGAAGAGACTACAAGTGACAGCGGTGGTAATAGCCACAGAAAAATTAATCGAGACCGCACCAACTCACTTCGTGGAACCAGTAATGAAATTAGAGAGCTACTTCTCAAGAACACTGCAGCAGCAACTACTGCTTCCTCTACTCTAGCATCACCAAGCAGCCCATCCTCAGAGAAGAAGGTTCATCTCACCGCTGAAATATTGAGATCATTGGCAGAACAACACGAGCATGACGATTCCACAACACCACAACAAGTTAAAGGTGTCAATCTATTACCAATTGGGGATAACCCACTTTTAGCGAGAAAGAATAGCGTTTCAAGTACGGCCTCCTCTTCCACAACCACCATTGAAACCATGAGACTTAGCAAATCGACACATGCACTCCATACCGATTCTTCACAAGTGAAGCGAGCATTTCCAACAGGAACTTCCTTCTCTGCAAATATTAATGCAGTTGTTGCTGCCTCGTCCTCCAATTTGTTACATTCAGAGAGCATGATTTCACACCATAGACCAGCGACTCCACACGCACACTGTTCTGATAATGAAGAAGATGATGAATTGGTAAACACGGAAGAAGACCCAACCAGTGGTGATGTTTCTGAAGGTGAGGAAGAAGGAGATCAACCCTCACCTCCACCTGCAGCTAATTCTGTCACCAACCCAACCACCACGATTGTCAATCCAATTCCCCTTAGAACCCATATCAAGGAATGAGAATAATTAAAATTCTCCTTAGCCCTCAAATTCTTGATTTCTTTAATTTTCCTGGAGACAATTACAACAATCATTTAAAGATTATTGAAGGAAATTAATATTGGTCATTGTTCCAAGATAATTGTCGCCATGACGACTCCGCAAGACGCTCCGCCAATGACTATTCCGATCCAAGGCCAAGCAAAATTCAATTTATGAACACTAAAAAAAAAATTGTTGTAGTGAATTGAGAACGAATTGGGCCACACGACTTCTTGAAAGTAGTACAACAGAAACAACAACCTCAGCACACTTCAATCCCGATCAACTAGTATTCTTCTTCATGGTCTCATCATTATTTGAAAAGTTTTGGAAATCTCATATTAAAACGAGTCCCGTTTGGTCTTTGGAGTTTATCCGTTTCTTGTTCAATGGACTTCGTATTGGTTGATCAATTTACCGTTCATTGTTTATCAATATGGAAAAGTAGAACAACGAAAAGTACAACAAAAACAACGATCATCATCCAACAACACAAATGCAACAACAACAACAAATTCTTTATTTGGTAGTAGGCTGATCCAGCGTTATGTTTCCATTTTAGATCAATATCTCATTAACCCTGATCATGCACCTATTGATTCCGAGTTTTATTCTAGAATTTTATGGCATGTAACGAAATTACATTTTCTAGTAGCTCTTCCATTGAGTGTGGTCGTGTCATTGGTGGCTGAACCAGTGTTTGACAAGAGTTATGAGTCGTTAATAGGGTCGGCTTCCATTTACTCAATTTTCCAAGTGATGTTGCATTTCGTGGTTTTTATCTTGTGTGATGAAGTATTGTTCTATGTTTTGCATTATGCCTTTCACAAAGTCTCCTTCCTGTACAAACATATTCATTATTTTCATCATGAATTGAGATATACAGTGAGTGTGGGTTGTGAATATGCTCATCCATTGGAATTTCTGTTTGGAAATGTGGTTCCCGTGTTGTTGGGACCTGTCTTGATGAGAACGCATTTGTTTTGGTATTGGGTGTGGATTGCATACAAGTTGTTGGAAACAAGTTATGTACATAGTGGATTTGATTTCAAATTATTTGGACGATTGCAGTTTGGAACCAATGAACATGCCTATCATCACAGTCACTATCAAGATGCCTATGGTGCTTGGTATGGATTGATGGATACAATGTTTAGAACTACGAATCACTTTAAGGAATACATGAAAAAGAAGAAGGTGAATTAATCAACAAGCGACATTTTTTGAAGTGTGTCCATTCTTCTCTGCTCATGCTGCACCATTGTTGTTGACAGCAGATGCCACACCATGATCACAATTGGTATTCATAAAGAACGCCATTGGTTTTTGAAAATCTAATGAATTCATATTATTATTTTAATTATATTTTATGTTATTACACGAGATGTGGATATTAGAACGAGTCAGACTCTCCCGTCATGGAAGAATCATTGAAAGATTTAAATGGAGGTGGAAGACCACTCATGATGACCTTATTCTTTGGAGGAGGTCCAATTTCAAATTCCGAGTTGTCACACGATGAAAATGAGTTTTCCTCAGATCGTGCAACATCAAAATCAGAATGAGGAGCCTTTTCCCCAGATCGATGATTCTGAGGTTTAAATATTCGAGAACTTTTCTGAGGTTCTTGTGTTTGCCGATTTTCCATTCCATTGGCAACAGCTTTTCGTGGTTGCAGTTTTGACAGCTTGTTTGAATTTTGTAAAATGTCGCTCACTCTTTTAGCTGCAAAAGGATCCATTCCTCCTCCAGCAATCGTTGAGGAATCATCAGTGTTCGTTGTTATCGAACTGGAATCAAGATCATCGTTTAAAGGTATTGGTTTTGGTTTTGGCTTTTGAGGAACATTTCCAAATGTTGCTGGTTGATTCTTTTGATTGTTGCTGACGGTAGAATTAACTCGTTCTGTTGGTGGTGGATGTATTTGCAAAATTGGTTTTGTTGGATCGAGTTTGTTTTTTTGAACTTGTTTAACGGTTGTATTGGCTGATTTGCTATTCATTCTCTTTTCATTTAAATTTTCATTTCTCAATTTGTGAATAATTTTAAACAACAAGGGTATGGTCTCTTGATTTTCCTCTTCTTCCTCAATTTCTTCATAGGTTTTCCTTAAATTTAATTCATGAGCTAAAAAACGATGTTCTAACCGTTCCTCAGGTTGATTACATTCTTTTTTAAACACCGATGCACTGTAATCAAAATGATTGTATTCCAAATATTCAATGATTAATTCATTGATCAGAAATTGCATTTCGGAGGGCCTAGGCCTGTTTTGCTCTTTCCGAATAAAAAATTCTTCGGAGGATTGAGAGCATTCGGATTGTTCAAATGATTTGAAAATTTCAGCTCTCAAATTGGCTCGTATCTTGTTTAATACACCTCTCTTTTCCAAATTCTCTTTCAAAACATCTTTGATTTCTTCTAACGACATTTTTTTAAAAGAGTTGTAATTTTTTGGCGGGTTCTTAAGCAATTCACCATACAATTAATGTAACGCCAGCAATAATTATTCTATTTTAACATGCATCATTATTGCGTGCTTATCATTGTTATGATAACTTAGGTTTTATTAATAAAGAAAGAACATGGCTTTGTTGAACCAAACCATGAATCACCCGATTTGCACGTTCCATCCACGTGATTAGCAGCTGTTTTGTAAAAGGTATCTTCATACGATTCTGAGAATGGAGCCTCTTTATCGACCGCACAAGAACTGTAGGGTACTAGACCATCATTCAATTCTCCATAGTTGACAAGCTTGCTCAGCAATTCAAGTGGAGCACTATACATCGAGTTTAAGCCGTAGCTGCTAGTGCCACAGAGCTGGCCAGTGACATATTCTTTGGCGATTTTTTGAAGCTCAGACAATCCAGAGTAGTTGGTGTGAAGAGTTTCATAGGTAGGATACATTTTCATGGAGTCTGACATGCAATAACCACCCTTGGATGCTAAAATACGTTTCACATTCCAATCGTCTTGGGCTGTGTTGAGATGTGTTTTCAACCATTACGTAGGAATATAGTTATATAAGCAAGAGAATAATTGTTACACTTACCACACACAGTGTCCAACATGTTGGCAGCTGGACTACCACGCAAAGGACCCATCAAGTCGTACCACGAAACAGTCGTCTTGTCCAAGCTACAAACTCCATTCTTAATAGCTGCTGCTAATATTAAATTGCCCATCGAGTGTGCATATATAATGACATTCTTAACAACCTTGTTACTCGACCAGGTCATGTCGCCTTGCTTTAGTTTTTGTTTCATGAGTAATATGTCACAATAACTTTGTTGCAGTTCCTTATTGTCCCACCCACGATATTTGGTTTCCTCTCGAATGAACCATCGTTCTGAGCATTGAGGAGTGTAATGAGAAACTGGACCCCAATAATTTTCAAAGTCATAATCTATTGGTTCTCCCTCTGTTGTTTGGTATTATTAGGTTGAATTTTAATCAAGTGTCAGATTTTGCAAGTTGTTAGTATTATAGTGTTGGAAGTCTTCATATACTTACTGTCAGTAGGCCATTGACCTGCACCATGTAAAAATACACAAATCCTTCTCTCATGGAGCTCTCGCATGTTATGTTGTTGAGAACACTTCTTGGAGTCCTTCAACCATGGTAATAAACAAGCAATAGAATCGAGATGGAAAAAGTATGATTTTGCAGGAGAGGTATATTGTTCCGATTGTAATAATCTCTTCTCTGAAGTGGATTTTTCAATTAGTTGGACTGGTTTTTTTGGGAACAAGTCTTCAAGTGGAGGTCCACTTGTCAACTCGGATCTAATGTGACTTTTGTTAATCAGGCTGATCTTAATGGATTGTGACGATCTCCGTTGCTGTTTCGTCATGATTTCCTTGAGCTCTTCCTGAATGAGAGGAGACTCTGAAAAGAGAGACATCAAGTTCTCACGTGTAGGTGAAATCTTAATGTCAATATTGTTTGACTGACCTCTCGTTTTTACAGTTGTCTTTTCGTCATTCACTTCTCCTCGATGCAAAGACATTGCAGAAATGTCAACAGTAAACTCTTGCCCAATAATATATCTCAAGTTCATGAGAGAGTTATCCATGGCTCTCATTGCATTAATCGTGCTCAAATGACTGCCAACTGTCGATGAGGGAGGAGCAGAAGCGCTTGTTGATCCCTTCTTCATGCATAACAAATAATGAGAATGTTCGAAAAATACCACATGGCGATCGAAATATTGCATGGGACACAATCTGTCAGCAGCTTCATCATAAATTGGCACATGTTCAGGTATGTAATGATTCGAATCGAGAATGGTTTTGAGAAGAGAGTTGAAATCCACTGGAGAAGGAAGAGTGGAAATGTGGGGTTGTCGTTGTTGTTGTGGCTTCTCATGGACCAGCTCATTGGAAGGCTGCATTGCAGTTTCATTGGTGGCTACCCAACGCACTCTCGCATAAGAATTCATATGCGAATCAAAGTATAGAGCCTCTGAGAGTAAGCTTGAAACAGAAACGAGTCGGATTCGTTCCGAAGTGGAGGAGGAAGGGCTGGTCATGGATACAATGGCACGACCCTTATATAAGGGAATTGCCTTATGATTCTTTTGGAAGGAAATGTGAGGGCTGCGCGAATGGACTTTAAAATCCACTTGAAGATAGTAGTGGTCATTGGGAGTTGCAGTTGTGGTATGATCCAATGGATGTTTCAGCCAGCCTCGGGTTTTTCTTAATAATTCATGTAATTCATGATGATGGGATTCAAATCGGAGAGCTGATGAAGTAGAGGATACTCTGGCATGTATGGAGAAGGGAGAATGAAGAAAGAAGACAAGTAGTAGTGAGAGGGCAACAAGGAGTAGATTCCGTTGTTTGGAGAGGAGGAGCAGTTGAGAACGGATGGATAAGGTTGCCTTGCGGCAGGTGGAGCTCTTTAATAGGTTCATGAGCAGAACACAACAAAATGATAGGAGGATTATATATAATCGGAATGCACAGGCGTTTGGAATGCTATGGTTGAGATGGATTCTGTTGTTCTTTTCGTTGCTGATATATATAACAACACCATACAACCCAAAGAAACAAACACGTGGAGGTAGGGACCAGACGTAAACGGTTATTCGTCTTTTTTTTTTCTGAGGAGAAAATGTCCTCCAGTTGAACCCTCAGAAGAAGTTTCAAATTTTTAGCTTTAGTTGGAAATTGCTGAAGATACAACACTTTCCAAATTCATGTAGTGATTTTAATATGTAGGCCCAGAGTATAGTATGATGTAGGCCAAGAAGATTTTTTGACTCGCAATTCCAAGGACACGTCACACAGAATGCTTTCTCTTTTCATGATGTTACAATTAGAGAGTTGAGGAAATTGAACATTGATCCTTGAATTCAATACGTTTCAAAACATTCTCAAAGCAAGATTCAAATATCATTCATCTCCAACAACATTTAAGAAATTTATCTATTTACATGTCAAACCTGTTACAATTACAACTGAGTTCTCCAAAATACATTCTTATTCATTCATATACACCACTTCGACACATTTCGCCGCTTTCGATCCCCAATACACCACCACCAAATCACTCTTCAAATAATCCTTCTCTCCAATTTTAATCTTTTCTTGTCCGAAACGTTGAACCAAGCGTTGAGTACCTTCCTGGGTGAGACCATGACGATTCCATGGATCGGGTGCATAAAACACACCTCTCAGGCATGCTAATAAACGTTCTTGATTGATCTCATGAGTGTATTCATCTACATCTCCTTCTTTGATCAATTCTCTCAAAATTCGATGAAAATTCACTTCGGCAGCAAAGTTTTGATCAACGACGACTTCGGTTGGTTCGTTTGGGAAGACCATTCTAGATGATGCAGGGTGTTGTTGTTATTGAACTGGTGCGTTTGGTTGTTGTTACAGATCGTTTCGAAATTTGTGAAAGATCTAAAGGATAATTATTTGTAAAAAGTTTTAAGTTTTTTTTAAAGAGAGATTATTGTAAAGGTTTGTCTTTTGATTTTCATTAAAAAATCAAGAAAGGTTCACGACTCTGGAAAAGGACTCCAGTCGAGATGTTCTGTAGTCCTATTTGAGAAAAAAAGAATGTCAAAAAGAACCATGACGTGTTATTCGATTGCATGCTAACAAAACGGTTGCTAGGAATCAACCTCAAGATCTAGAAACAGTAAAAGATGGATGTAATTAAGGAATTTTTACAACACCCTTACTTACTTTCCAACTTTTTCCCTCTTCGACTTCCAAAATGCTGTCTCATCTTGGTTGAACACTTTGGAAAATTCTCAAATTTCACATCATTCGATTGGTCCAGGAGAGGAGGAATACCGCTTCGAAACCCGATTTTTGAAGGCGCTCTAGTTGTTGTCAAAACATCAAAATGGTTGTCCTACACCGACAACTATGGTGTTCGGCATCACAAAAAAAACACACAACACCGTACATTCGGCACCATGAAGAGAATCTCTCAACACATTACACAACACCAACGATGGATGGTGCGTTCAAAGACATTACATGGGATTCAAAACAACACAAAGAATGAACCAAGTCGAGTGTTGTTGATCAATAATAACCAAATACCAACGACGACTTGGAATGATCAAAGTCATTCGTTTCACACTCAATTGATTTCACTCCATCCATCGACATCATCCAATACTTCGCAATGTCCATTCCATGCGACGAAATCTGCATCGACCATGGTGTCTTCAACTAATTCAGTTTCTCTCCAAATGGATACATTGAAACCATCGGTCGATGAGAATTTGACCTCCGAAACTCTCAAACACGATCACTCTCCACAACCTCGTGTGAAATCTTTTGAAGAAATTCCTGGACCTAAAGCATGGCCTTTCATTGGTCATTTACTTGATCTTCTCAAACATAAGGGAATTCCAAATATTTATTTTTATGAATTGTGTGAACAATATGGAGATATGGTTCGTCTTAAAATTCCAGGCGAGAATATGTTGATTGTGTCTCATCCTGTCATCATTGAAGAATTGGTGAAAAAGGAAGAACGACGTGAATATTTAAAGTCGAATCGATATTATAAGCAACAACATGATATAACGTTGGCTCCTATTGGTAAGTGAAGAAATGTGATCCTGATCTAAGGTTTCATTGGTGCTTGTTTTAAACAATAATCATGACTATTAATATTGAACTTTATGACCATTGCTATTAATATTGACAATAATATTTTGAACGTTATGACATTTCCACATCATGAATGTCTTTTTGAAATTTCATAGAAATGACCTTCTTTGAGGATTGGCAAGAAATTAGAAATCTCTACAATGTGGCCATGAAACCTGAAAATTTAGAAAAAGTCAGTTTACCACAAATTACTGAACTCAATGGAGACTTTTTACGGACTCTTGTGAAAAAATTGAAACGAACTGACAATGATGATGGACTCAAATATCGACTTCCGAATGCCTTTGACGTGACATCTTTATATACTTTCAAAGCAGTGGCTAAAACCTTTTTAGGTGTCAAAGTCACTGAAGAATTGGAACAACAAATGCCATGGACCATTTACGAATTTGTCGAACAAGCTGTTCGTGCCACCGATATTGCACTCCAACTAGACAACAAACCACCTCTCTATCAATACATTAAAACCAGTGAATATAAGGAAATGGAATTTTTAATGGACAAGATTTACGATGGATGTAAACTCTTAATCAAAATGTTCGAACAAAATCCAAATCCTAAAATTCCTCGATTGAAAGAATTGGTCGATCAACGAGCTGTTGGAATGGAACAAGCACATAAAAAGAGTGAAGGAGTGTTGAGTGCCTTCTTGAATGGTGGAGTAGATATTACATCACGAATTATGGTCAATCAAATGTATCGATTGGCACATCATGTGGAATATCAAGATAAATTATTTGAGGAATTGAAGGGATTGTTTGGAGAACCTACAACTGAGGAGTTTGAATCAGAAAATGGTTTGGAAATTACTTGGGAAAAGTATAAAAAGATGAAACTTGTGAAGAATTTCTTGGAAGAAACCATGCGTTTGAATTCATTCTCGTATATGACAAGTGGCAGATGGGCCGTACAGGACTTTGAATTGAATGGATATTTAATTCCAAAAGACACTCGTATCTTTATTATGAACTATCATCCAAGTTTGAAGGATGAGTTTGTTCCACGTGCTAAAGAATTCATTGCAGAGAGACATGAAAAGGGTCATCCGTTAGCTCCAAAATCCATGTACAGCAGGTAAGTGCTGACAATTGACATTTTTGTTACAAGGAATGGATGAAATTTTCTCAATTTTTCAAATCATGATGATGAAATGGAATACTTTAAATATATTAACAGTCTTCCATTTGGAATTGGTGCTCGTAAATGTCCAGGTAGTCGTATCGCAAGTACTGAATTACACATGTCACTCATCAATTTGGTCAGACATTTCAGATTGACTCATGAAAATCCAGAGAAATTCCCAGAAAGCAGCCATGATCAATCCATGCTGTACATTAATTCAAAGAATCATCCCTTGTATCTCATTCCAAGAGATCATATGAAACCAATTTTAGAAAAACATGTGAAATAATTTGAAAATTATTGAACTCGAACAATCCTTAATGTCATGAAAATTTTACAAGAATTTTACAATAAATTTAACTTTTGTAAGTCCGTTTAACAGTGAAATTCCAAACTTGAAAAAAAATGGAATCACGAACTTCACAGCATAATTTCAGCGCGCAGATGATCCGTCCTCGTGATGATCAAGATTCTGATTCCAACCGAACCGGACAAGACTTGATCCGAAAAACATTACAAGATGCTGTAGAACGCCATGCACCATTCGGATTCATTGGACTGGAAGTGTTTCATGATCCCAATGATTCCGTTCCGAACGGTTCAGTTGAAGCCTCTGAACTTGTAACAAGCCTTCCACAATATCCAATGAATGAATTTTTGAAACACAAATTACAGTATTCCATTGGATTGTTAAAGATGCTCGCAAATTGTAATCATCAGTCGTCCAGTGTGCCCGTGAGAATCTTGAACAACCATCATGTTGGCCAGGAGCAGCAGCTGACGAAGGTTTGGAAATACTTTTCGGATATTGTGATTTTCGAAAAAGTGCGAATAAAAAATCGACGATTTTTTCGCGATTTTTTTCGAGATCGAAATGAGCGACATTGATGCGTTGTCGTTTTGACTTGATGTTGATTAACATCGAAATCCTTCAAAATCGATTTCGATCAAACTCGAAATTTATTAAGTTTTTGTCTCATCATGCCAGATTTCCTTGCAATGATGAACAAACGATTTGATTATTGTGATTTTCGAAAAAGTGCGAATAAAAAATCGACGATTTTTTCGCGATTTTTTTCGAGATCGAAATGAGCGACATTGATGCGTTGTCGTTTTGACTTGATGTTGATTAACATCGAAATCCTTCAAAATCGATTTCGATCAAACTCGAAATTTATTAAGTTTTTGTCTCATCATGCCAGATTTCCTTGCAATGATGAACAAACGATTTGATTAACTTGGGTGTAACTTGATCAAACACCTGCTCCATTATCTCTTCGAGAGAGTCAACCGAATGTTCATAGTTTTTCAACTGTGTTTTCATCCATCCGAAAAGCAATTCAATGGGATTGAAGTCAGGAGAGTATGGGCTTTGCCAAAACACACTAATACCTTGGCCATTCATTATACTATGAACTTCTTTTTCCTTATGAATGGATGCGTTGTCAAGAACTAAAATACAATCTTTTGGGATCAATTTGCTCAATGTTGTCAGAAATATATTAAATCGATCAGCATCAATTGCTTTGTTAGTTGTATCGACAAGTTCCCAGTAAACCAAACCTCCTCTCTCGTTAATGCATGCCAATAATGAAAAACGTTTTCCACTCACTCTGTGCGCACTGTTTTGACAAGTGTTGCCAATTTTGATGTGAGCCCTTGTTCTAATCAAATGGTCATAACAGAAATGCGATTCGTCAATAAAAAACATGATTCTTGTTTTGTAGGTTCGAATAGTTCGCCTGTACACAGTTCTTTGAGATTGTACTCTTGGGCTTTTTCGATATACTGATACTTTTTCACATTTCTTATATGTCCTGAACAAATATTTTGTCGTTATTTTGGAGAGCTGAGATACGGAAATTGAAACATCAAGATAATCTTTAACTATTTGACGTACTTCTGCATAATTAACAGTATTATATTCACTGAATATGATATCAATAAATCTTAACACAGAGAGGTGGGTTGATTTACCTGAATGTGGAGGCCTTCCGAGAGCTTTTTCTTTTTGTATTTCATTGCAATATTTGTAAATCGTTGAAGGTGCGAAAGGTAAAATTTGTTGCAAGACCTTTGGTTTATCTCCATACTTTCCACACACCAATTTAATGAACTCAATTTGTTCTGGGGCTAATTTTTGACCTTGGATATATGGTCTTAGTTTTTGAGATATTTGGACACCTGTTTTTTGTTTGAAAACTCGTCTTTCATCGTTTGTGAATCGATGTTGCGTTGCTTTTACCATGTGGAAATCGATTTTTTCGAGCAAAATTGATAAGAAATTGTTGAGAAAATCAATTCTGCTCGATTATGTTGAATTGTTTAATGTTCTCATATCGAAAATGTTGAATTGAACGACATTGATTTGTTTCGGAATAAAAAAAACTCAACGGCGTCTTGTTTTTTGTGCGATTGTGTCAACGTCAAAAAACAATAACAACGGTTTTCTCACTGAAAAAAAATGGGCAAAGACAAAACAAAGTGGAACACGTTTGATCGTTTTTGCGAAATACTCGCAACCACATTACCTATTTGTTCAAATGAGCTCTATTCTCATGGAATGACAAATTCAAAAGCAGCAAGCAAAGTTTTCAAGAAGCTCCAATTAGAAACAAAAAAAAATACAAATTTCACATTTCCTACTGCTAAAGGTTCAAGAAAATACAAAGATGGTTTACCAGCAACATGCAACGCCCCAAAAGATGACAAACGTGTGAAAGATTTTTTTGATACTTTCATTCAAGAAAACAAGAAATGGATTGTTAACGAGATTGAAAAAGAGATTTCTGCTCACTCCAACAAAAAACAATCATTGGCTTCACAAATTCAAGGTGACAGTAGTGACAGCGAATCAGAACATTCAGATCAGGATGATGAGAAAGATGATTTGGATTGGATTGATGATAATGGCAACGATTTGCAGGAAGTTATGTATAAAGAAGCGCAAGATAAATTGAGAGACAATGCGAAAAAGCGTACAAGAAAAGGTGATACAGACAAAAGCGTCTCTCCTGTATTCAAAAAAGCTCTTGCTTCTATTCAAGAAAAATCATTGGTCATTAAGAAAGAATTGGACGAGTCAAAGACCAAGGAAACACCTTCAATGGCTCCTGAGCTTGATATATGTGGCATGGATTTGCATGATATGTTTGATCTTGATCCAAAACCTGAGTCAACACCACAAGTTACTACGTTCAAATCACCTGTTTTAGAATTCCAGATTTTCAAATTGGATCAGTTAAAGAAGCAAATTTTTATTAACGCTAAACAAGACTGTGATACTAATGATAAGGATATGCAAAATTCGACAAAGTTTTTAAAAACTATGAAAGACATGGAAGAAAATAATTCAAAAGTTATTGCAGATCAATTATTGAAAATTCAGAAAGAAAAGGAGGAGTTACTTGAGAGATTTAAAAAACAAGAAGAAGATATTGCTAAACAAGAGGAACAGTATGTAAAACCTTTGACCAAATTGGTGAATGAAGTTGCAAAATTGATTGAGGTAAAGAAAGAGAAGATTAGACAAAAAGAGGAAGAGGAGAAAAATCAAATAGAAGCAAATTATCAGAGTTTATTTGATTAAAGGTTCTTCATGATCGATTTTTTCAACTCTGACGATCAAGAAAATCGATTCAGGTCGATCATAATTGATTTTTTCGATTTTGGACGAAAAACATCGACGTTGAGAAATGAATCGTGTTGAGGTAATCGATTCAGGTCGATCGTAATCGATTTTTTCGACTTTGCACGAATAGCATCAACATCGTATCTCGTCAACATCAAGCAAAATCGTTTTCGGGAAGAAACGTCCAAAAAATGAGGGTTGACCGAATTTGAGCAAGTCGTTTTCGATTTTACTCGATTTTTTTTCGCACTTTTTGGAAAATCACAATAAAATTTAAAAAAAATGAAGCCAAAGCCCACAAACTTCTCGCGAGTAGAGACAACTCTTGCAATAATTTCCTTTTATCTATTACTTGTCTTTCCTTTTATTTACGCCGGCAACACACTCACTACTTCGAAAGATCATTTCATTAATGAATTATACCAATCATCATCAACAAAAACGTGTTCGGAAGCCAAGAATAATACATCATCCCTTCCATCTCCCCTCCAAATAGCAATCATCCTCTCGGGATCGATTCGAATTTTTCCAGAAATTTTCGAACGATACGATGAAGAAATTTTAAAATATCAACTAATGGAATGGTGTGAACACGTCGATTTAAATCGGGAACGAAATTCGAATATTGATTTTTTTGTTTCTGTCGTGTATGAGAGAGAGGAGGAATTGGAACGATTTAGGGCCATGAAGGATGAGATACCTCATGTGAAATATGTGTCGATTGGTAAGTGTGAAAATTATTGTTGTGAATTGTTATTGACCGAAATAATTTTTTGTTATTTTATTAACAATAATAATAATAATTTTGTTCATAAATGATGATGATCATAATAATCCAATTGAATTTTGTAAACAGATCGATCTGTGGATGAACAAGTCAAGAAACGTTTTGGAGGAAGAGATTTGTGTGAAAATCATCCTACCAAACAATATTGCAACAATTGGCTTTCGTCATTGTATCTCATGAACCATGCCAACAACAAACGGAGGGAATTTGTGAAACAACATCGAAAAAACAAAGATTATGACGTCATTATGAGATTGAGAACAGATTTATTATTCGATCGATTTATTAATCCAAGATATTTCTATACTACCAATTCCAGCAACAACAATTCGAATCCTTATTGGAAAGGTTTTCAAATTGAACCTCGCACTCTTTATTTACCATTTGATATGCACTGGATGGGTTTGAATGATTTATTTGCATTTGGAGACGCAAGTGTCATGAATGTTTATTTTTCACAAATTGATCATATTGAAAGTATCAAAAAAGAACGAAACGTAGAGTATCATCCAGAGACGTATTTGAGATTTCTTATGGAGAGAGAAAATATCAAGTATAAGAAATTACCTCAAGTCGATATTAAGGTTGTGAGAGTATCAAGTTGTAACAAGTGATTAGTGACATGTGAGATTATTCAAAATTTAGCGTGGAGAGATTTATCATTTCACCTCTGCAGAAAGAACCAATGCTCCAAAATTGAGTTCAAAAATATGCGAAATATTCTACTGTTACTATTATATGGCCTGCTAATTAGGATACTGGTAACGAATGAGAATTTATTGTTGGATTTTACAATCGCAATGTTATTCAACGATCGATTTTTCTTTAGAGAAATTTCATCATTTTGGCAACTAGTTCAATAAACCCACGAGAAACCGACATAATGTGGAATTTTCTGTTCAACAAATCTGGAGAACAACACTGTTCCCACATGATAATTATTGGTAGAATCAATTCAAAGCTGTTCTGTAAAAAAGAAGACAGCATGCTCGGTGTTAAAGAGAGGCATGGTAGACAAGTTGTTAATTTTTGGAAGATCACAACTTGGTATCCGGAGCCCAAGTTTTCAAATGGGATGAATGATTTCAATTAATTTCAATGTCTAGTTTCATTCAACGCATGTTGTGTTTTCACTTTTCTCATGGAAGCATGGAAATTCCCAAATACGCATCGTGATAGTAATGAGTCATTCTCGCTTGATATAATTCATCGCTGTACTTCAATACATATCCATTGCATTTAAGTGCCTCCATCACAATTTCTGAATCTTGTTGTAATTCTTCACTTGCGTATTTCAATGAGTAACCATTGTTTTTCACTGCCTCTAACATTATTTCTCGGGAAGAACAATTATAATTGCGTCCAATAACTCCAAGACTGTTAAGTTTGACTGCTTGCAGAATAAATTCTTTGTCATTTGTAAATTCTGCTGGTACAAGTGACATAATATCCTCACATCCCATCTTGATCACATCTAATAAGAATTGTTTGTCATTTAAAAGTCCACTCTCTGAAGCGTAGAAAAAAGCCTCCTTGTTTTCATTGATTGCTTCAAAAACTATTTCTCGATCATTTTGAAAAATCTTATCAGCATAATCAAGTGCAAAGCCATCTCGTTGAACTGCTTCCAAAACAATCTCTCGATCGCTTGTCAACTTATTTGACGCATATGCAAGAGCATAACCATCTTTTCTAACAGCTGCTAATACAATATCTTTGTTATTTTTCAAATCATTGAGGGCGTAAACAAAGGCATGGCAATTTTGACAAGTAGCAGCTAGCACCACATCATAATCACTTTTCAACTCTGTTGAGACAAATTCCAAAGCGTTGCCATCTTTCTGAACGGCAACAAGTACAATGTCCTTGTCACGCTTTAAATCATCAGAGGCAAATTCAATAGAACAAGCATTATTCTGAACTGCATTTCTCACAACATCACGATCATTCTTAAGCTCTTCACTTGCAAACTGAAGTAAAAATCCAAATTCTTGTACAAGTTTCAACATGACTTCTTTGTTGGAATAATTAAACACCTTCAATCCTTCGAATTCAGGAAAAATTAATGTAACAACTTTCAACATGAAAGAAAGATCTGTGAGTAACTCAATTGGAACCCATTGAAGTGCCTTCTTATTTTGTTTGATCGCTTCTAAAATTACGTCCTTATTTGATCTCAAACCATATGCTGGGTCTACATAAGTATAACTCAATGCCTCACCATTTTGTCTCACAGCAGCTAATACAATGTCAAGATCATTCTTGAGAGGTGGTGCTGCATAGGACAGCGCTTTTCCATTCAACTGAACTACTTTCAACATAAACTCCTTATCATTTCGTAGCACAGTTGAAACGGAATTCATTACCTCTCCGTCATTCTTTACGGCAGTCAATATTAATTCTTTATCATTTCCAATTCTGTAATTTGGAAATCTTAATTCCATTGATCCATTGTATTGAACCACTGTCAACAGAAACTCTCGGTCTTGTTTTAACTTGGGGGATGCATATTTCCAACCATAGCCAAACTTTTTAACGTGATTCAAAATAAATTCTTTGTCGTTCATAAACTCAACAGGAATGAAATTCTCATATTTCAATTCTCTATTCTCGAGCCATTTCTTCTTTCCTAATTGTTGCAATGAGAATTTCTTTTTCAATAATAATTCCAATCTCCGAATAATATGAATAGAATTTTGATCGTCATCATCATGCTCGTTAAGAGTTAAAAAATCAAGTACAACCACCTTTACATTTCCATCATTAATTCTCATCTGTATCAGTATTCCTCTTTGCTGCGTTATACTCTTCGGGATGGAGTAGCTCTTGATGTCGTTAATATTTTTTTTTAATTACAAAAAAATGAAATCATCAGTTGAGTGTGGAAATGATGAATTATTTTCAATTTTTCAATTTTTGGATCCCCAAAGTATTTTAAATTCATGTGTGAGAGTGAGTCAGAGGTGGAAACAAGTGGCTTGTTGCAATGCATTGTGGAAGTATTTTTGTAATTCTATTTTGATGAATGATGTTTTTGAATGGGATTTAGATTTGGAACGGTGCAATCGGATGAAGGCTCTTCATAATTCCGATCATGATGAAGAATGGAATCATCATCTTGATGAAAAGAATCAATTATACATTAATTCCGATCCCATTGGTAGAAGAAATGATGAATATTATTGGTATAATGTATTTCAAGCCTTATTCAGAATACCAATTATTAAATCGTTTTCATTTATGGACAGGGAAAGACAAATGCGATATGCATGGGCAGAATTACTGGAACGTTTTGATTTCCATGTCCCTCGATTATCTGAGCCATTCGACCTAGAGTACCCAGAAGTAGATGAACGAGTAGATTGTCCAACAGATAACGAACACAATCCAAGAAAATTTCCATCAATTTATGAACATGGCCAAGAAGAGAGAATTTTTCAACATGGTTGGAAATATGTTTATGCAAAAATTGCAACTCTGTTAGCCATTTTAAGTAGTGGCTCTCACTGCACACCGAATCCATGGAATGACAAGATCATTCTTACTTGTTTTGAATATCAGGACCAAAACAGCAATTGGCAAGTGAAAAAGACAACATCTATATCTGTGGCTGCATTTTGTGTTGCTCAAATGTTTCCCAAGTCAGGACCAACGAAATTAAGAGAGCTTGTTTCTGCTCACAACAATAACTGTCGAATGTCAATTTCTCCAAATATTGAAGATGCCAATCATGTCAAGCCATTTTGTTTTTTCGAATACATGGATAAATTTTTTGTAAAAGTACCAGCTGAAGATCATAACACTGATGCAAAGGATAATGAAAGAATACCAGCTGAAGACAACATCACTGATGAAGAAGACAATGAAAGATCAGAAGATGTGGAAAATGCTATTCATGGTGGTGGTCGAGAGGATGATCTTGGAGCAAGACCAATGTATCGTTGGTATGACTATGTGGACGACAGCTGTGAACGTTTTTTGTGGCTTCCCATGGTATTTAACGCTGGAGGTTGTGTGAGGACTTATAAATATGATGCCCTCTATTTGGGAGAGCAGAATTTACTAAGAGTTGAAAAGCACTATGAGTTGGATTATTAGTGCTTTTTTACGACGATCATGCTCTGATGAAAGGTTGCCTCAAATGATCACGAAATTGTGCTGAAAGTCATTGAGCTTGTTGAAATAATGTTGATAGCCTTAATTGAAATCAACAATTTGAACAAAACAAATCGAACAAAGGGCTGATCTTGCACTCAATGAGCTCTTTGTTACAACAAACCTTTTGATGATTACAAAAAAGAATTTAAAAAAAATTGTGTTGACAAGTTCTTCTTCTTCCGCCAACAACAACAACAATAAACTTGTACCATTGAAATGAGAAAACAACTCCCGGCATCTGTTGAAACTGGTATTGTTGAAGATGCAGCAAATTTATCATCAACAAGGATCAATGATCAATCTGAAAACGATGATTTCTCTCCGACAAGTTTTGACGATAACAATGGACCATTGGCTGATGATATTATTTTTGAAATTCTTCAATTCCTTGATTCCATGTTGATCATTCAAATTTGTATGAAAATTTCAAAACAATGGAGACGGGTATCATTTCAAATTCCTCTCTCATTAGCATTCATACCAAATCACTTCAAACAACCAAAGCATGAGTCCATCAAACTTTTAGCTGATTGTGAATATGTGAAGAATTTGACTTGTTTGAGTCTGGATACCAATCAAATTGGCAATGAAGGTGTTAAATATATTGCTGCAAGTGAATACTTGAATAATTTGACTTATGTGAATCTGGAATGGAATAGAATTAGCAAAGAAGGTGCTAAATATTTTGTCGCAAGTGAATGTTTGAAGAATTTGACGTCTTTGAATTTGTATTACAATGAAATTGGCAATGAAGGTGCTAAATATATTTCTGAAAGTGAGTGCTTGAAGAATTTGACTTATTTGAATCTAGATAGAAATCAAATTGGCAATGAAGGTGCTAAATATATTTCTGAAAGTGAATACTTGAAGATTTTGACTTCTTTGAGTCTGGACGACAATGAAATTGGCAATGAAGGTGCTAAATTTCTTGCTGCAAGTGAATGCTTGAAGAATTTGACCTTTTTGAATCTGGATAGAAATCAAATTGACAATGAAGGTGTCAAATATATTGTTGAAAGTCAATGGTTGAAGAATTTGAGTTTGTTGTCTTTGGAAGATGATTAGTAGCACAACAATGCGTACTCTTACTCTCTCCAAATATCTATCCGTGCAACATGACCAGACGAAACAACAGCCAATGCCATCCAGCAATCAAATGTTATTTCATCTGGAGGGAGATATGGATGCTCAATGAACACGGAACGGAATTTGAGATCGGTCCTCCTTAATGAATGGAATGAGGCTATTGGGAATATGGAGCAGTTACCTTGGAATTTATTGATTTTTTCTAACGGAATTAATCGAAAAGATATATCAGTCTTGTAAATGATTTACAGTGCAGCGAGCAAAATAAAAACGATGTCACGCCCCTAGTTCTCAAGTATGCAAAGTTGTGATGCATTATTATCTCACTACTACAACTTGGATTAAATTCTATACTGACGAGAATCAGAGTTTTCAAGCTCAAACTTGATAAACTTGGCAATTTCAAGAGAAAGTTCAGAATAGACATAACTTGGGAATGGTTCCTTGTCAAATTCAATGGAAATGTATTCGGACTTGGTTGAGTGATTTGTAGAATCCTGTGCTGAGGAGTCATTGTTGTTACTAGTACCATTGTGGTGGTGTTTCAGCGTAATATTAAATCCTAGTTTGGCATTATCGAGAACATTCTTCACTAAATTTCTATATTTGAGCAATGCTTGTGCAAGATTTAACATGTTGCCACTGCCGTCCACCATGGGTACTACCATGTTTTGTTCTGAACTCGTAGTGATATCTGAAAGATCAATTGTGAATAATTTTGTTGTTGTGTTGCCACTCAATGAAGACTTGAGATCGGTTTTTCGACTAATTTGCAATTGGAAATGTCCTACTTGAAGTGACACGAATAGTAACAGAGGAGATACCCATGAAAAACTAATGAGCTGAACCTCACGTTGTTGTTGGTTCAAATCTTGAAGCTCCTCCGACGTTAGGTTTGGTTTTTGCAATTGTCGTTCAATCTTTTCCTTTTTGCTTTGATTTCTGAAAATTTCCAATTCAATACCACGCTCCAACTGTTTGGTAAGTCCATATTTTGAAATAAATACATAGGTGTCATCGGAATTTTCACCTATATTTTCTCCAAGTTCGCTTTGTTTCACAGTTAAATTTGGATCCAAATCGACAATATAATTTAAAAATCCTTCAAAGAATGAAATTACGTGAGAAACTGGTCTTAAACTTGTATGTGGAGGCTTCCAATCGTTAATGTAATTGAAAAGTGCCGTATAATTTCCAATATTGGTCTTGATAAATGTATAAGTGTACAGAGATGTCACATCATCAGCACCAGGTTGCCAATCATCGCTTTCCACATTCTCGAAATCGTCTATAAAGGAGCATGATTGAAATTCAGTGTTCATTTAACAGTAATATCATCACCAAAGAAATAATACGGGAACATATAGTAAAATGGGTCAAAGAAAATGTTACATTGAAAGTCAATGATTGTAGGTTTGTACCATGTACACAACTAGTTACACATACCTTGACCTGCTTTTTGTTTCTTCAATTTCTTATTTTCAATTTTAACTTTTTTCATGGACTGCATTACTTGAGTTCGCAGTTTGGAAAGAACTCGTATCTTGGACTCAACCGAGTTGGAGAATTTGATTTCTTTCATGAGTTGCATGCACTCACTATATGGAGTGGTGTATTGGTAGAAATAAAGTCACTGTGCACTCCAAAGTTTTGCAAGTTACATGTGGAAATAATCGAATTAATTTTCTGGTTAATGAGCAAGTCTTGATCTCTAAAATGATATTCATAGAGTTCAAATGTGGTAGAATAGAGTTTTTTGTGAAGATGATCTGCAATGATTGTCTTGCAGAAATTGTAGGCTTGCGACATGGATGAAAATTTCAATTTAGACGATTCGAAATTGGTACCAACAGATTGAGAATTTCCAAAAATAATTTCGTCGTCACACTCATCAAATTGTTCATCTTGCTCCACAAATTGCATTTCCGAAGGATCGCCCGAATGATTTGCTGCTCCTCCTCCATTCGAAAGTAATTTCGAGCTTAAAATTTCATTGCCAAAATAGTCCCAAACTACCTGATCACACAAATAAATAATGTAACTCTTCAAGTCATCAATGGCGTTATATAGAAGGACGCCATCTTTTTTAGAGGTGATTTTTCTGGCGCCTGACTGACCTCTATTATTTCCAGCATAGTAACTTCCATGATAGAGACTGTCAAAGAACTCGATAAAGCTCTTCACAAATGACACAACCGGAGGTGCTGGACCATCTGTTTTGATACTTTCTCCTAGGAGTCTCAACACCTCATTTTTGAAGGTGACCTTGTCGGTGAGGTCATACTTTTCATACTTGCCATAAAAATCAGTTAATTTTTCTCTCTCCTTTCTCCATGTTTCCTTACTCATGAGTGAGTAATATTTCCATTTCATTTCTAATTCTGGACGTTCAATGTTCTCCTTCTTGGTCATTTTCAAAAATTGTAAATAATTGTTGTCATCCATGTGACCCACATTTTGGAATAACTTGATTGCCTCGTTAATTTGTGTTCGAAGTTGAAAGAGGTGAGTACTGTTCGAATACCAAGTTCCATCCAACAATGAAATAGAAAGGTTTGTTAAAACAAGGTGTGTGTCAATTAATATATGGCTGAACATTGTGGTACTTACAGTTCCACGTTTTTAGCCGTTCCTTTCTTAAAGACGGCACTCTCCACCTTGTCTCCGTTCCATGTACCTTCAATGACGTCACCAGTGGCAAGATAGAGCTTTCCTTTACCTTTTCGTGAACCTCGTTTGAACTCTCCTTGATAGTAAGTTCCGTCAATGTATTGATAGGTACCAGTGTAGTGATAAAGTCCATTTTTCCAGCCTCCATAATATCGCTCACCATTGGCCATCACTTCAACTCCAAAGCCATCTTTTAAATCCTCTTTAAAACCTCCAAAATATTTCTTATTTTCAATGACATGATATAATTCTCCCTCCTTGTGCTTTTCGAGGTCATTGATACCAATCGTATAGGCAGAAGATAGTTTTGCTTTAGCACGAAAAGTTCCCCAATATTCCAACTCATTCGAATAGGTGACTTTAAATGGTATGGCCTCAGACGGATTGTTACAAACCCATTGGCCTATAGCAATGGCAGTAGGAGGAGCTTGCTCCGTTTGGGCCGAAGACTTTTTAGACGTGGTAGGTATTGTGCTCTTGTAAGGAAAAATCATTTTACCAAATCCGTGACGTTTTCCTCGAATAATGTCACCCTCGTAGACACTTCCATTTGGATATCGTAACTCTCCTCTTCCGCATAGTCGACTCAAAACTGGACAAACACATGAATCTCCATAGATTCCTCCTGAGAAATCTTTTACATCTTTCTCTTTTTTTGCTGACGCTCCTCCATCTTCACCAGCTCCCACGCCCATTAGTGCATACATCATGTAAATTTCATCATCAGTCATTGAAGAATCATATTTTTGAATATATCCAATGTATTGCCATTCTGTTTGTCGAGTGAATGTAGAAATTTTGTAAATTGTGCCAATTTAAAAAAATAAGTGTCGTATTTCCAATAACATTAGTGAGTCAAAATGTGATCGTAAACAATTCAACAATGTATGAATATGGACAAAAAATGGTGCATGACACTTTCAACATACCTTGATCATTTTCATCGAAAAATGAAAGATGGGCAAATGACTCGCCATTCTTATTGATCTTCTCAAGAATATTGTCCATCATTTCTTTTTGATTGTTCTCTCTTTCCAATAATTTTAGCCGTCTCATTTCTTTTTCAGAGAGCTTCTTTGGAGCTTTTTGGCTTACTGAGATACTATCATCGTTTACAGGAGTTGTAGATAAAGTTGAACTTCCTGTATTACTTTCATTGACAGATTCTTGCTCACTGAATGGAACTGGACTCGAAATTTTTGTTGTGAAAATACTTTTTCCTCGCATTTTGTCCAAAAACGTCTTTAAACCAGAGGTTGTTGTTTCTCTGTTTGTGGAAATATCGGTTTTGTCCATTTCACTTGCTGATGATGGTCTTCCAAGAGAGTTATCATCCAATGAAGCGGTTTTTAAAAATCCAAGTAAATCAATTTCATTAGTATTTCGTTGAGAGGGTTGCTCGTCCGAAATGAAATTATTGAGAGGGGTTGCCATGTGAACTCCTTGTCGCTTTTTCATGGTCTCCTCGTCGAGTTGTACAACTTTTTTGACCTCATTGCTGTTTGACTCAGAAGTGGGAGTATTGTCACTGCATGATGATGTGACAGAGGAAGTAATTTGTAGCGTATCGGAGCATGTACTTGTTGAAGAAGTAATAGGAGAGGTAGCCAATGTTGGTGTACTTGAGCTTGACACGTTCGGTGCCAACGAATGCAAGCTTGAACCACCCTTATTGTGACCACTACTCGAAGAAGAGGAACCAAATGTAAATCCAAAAAGTGTAAATTTCTTTCGAGAACTTTCCGAATTTGTCTTTTCTTGTGATCCTCCAGTTGTAGAGGTTGTGGCTGTCGATGAGGATGGCAAAAGTTGTGGTGTCGATGGAGTAGTGCTGATAATACTCGATGCCGATGGTGGAGTAGTGAAGGAATAAGCCTCAGAGGCTGACCGTTTGTGGCTCCATCGTCTCTGATTGACTTTTACAGGAGGTGTCATTTGATGTTGTTGTTGTTGACTTGTTAAATTTTCCTCCGTGCTACTTGTTGTTGTTGCATCATTGGATGAAGAATCGCCATGATCCATTAGAAATTCAGCTCCCTTCTTCTTTCCAAGACTTTCTTCATGAAGTTCTGGATCAAAGGTAAAAACGTCGGATGGAACACGATTGGGTCTTGGAAGTGCTTTTCGTGGTCTCTCCGCAGAAGTAGGCCTCTTTTTAGAGGGATCCTCTGCATTGTTGATGTTTGAAGAAGTATTGGAAGTGGAGCTATCATGAGAAGAGTCCAACGTAACACTGTCGTGTGATTGACCATTTTGGGCAATTTGATGAGGTTGTTCTTCAGGGACTGATGTTTCTGCTTTTTGGAACGGAAGGCTCACGGTGGAATCGGTGATTGTACTGGTACTATTACTACTACTGCTGGTTGTAGCTGTAGTTGAAGATTCCGTGTTCATGTCATTCGGACTTGTACTTGGTTCGACAAGATCTTCGTTATTTGTATTCATATTGATGATGATATGATGATTTGATGATTCTATTTTGATGGAGAGAGCAAATGAATCTCTTGTATGAATTATAATAAATTAAAAAAGGAAGGAAATGATGATGTAGATAATTTCCGAATATGAAACACGATGATGATCGTTATTGGATTAATAAATTAATTATATGATTTGGGGATTGGGAATAATTACAATAGGGAAGTTTGTTGGTATGTTTGGCTCTCGCACACTCTCTCTGTTCTCTCCGAGTGTGTGTTTTTCAACTGAACAGACGATCGTGCCAGAGGTTTTTTAATGTTGTTAATTTTTTTGTTTGTTGTTGACATTTTCCAACGACGAGAGATGGACAATTACGTCATGATGACTCGTTTCTTCCGCTGGTCATGCCATTTTTGCTTAAAATCTTTTCACCAAGAAGAGCTCTTTTAGAATACATTAAGGAATTTAAAATTATTACCTTTCCAAAGAGCTTGTGTAATCGGTTTATTATATCTTAAAGTGCATTATTGAACGGATTGTGAGAGAACGACAAGATGAGATTGTAACATCCTCAATGCTTGATCCAACAAGACTCTATCGTTGGCATCTTTCATCCAATCACTCAAAACAAATCTTAAATTTGCATTATCCTTATGTTGACAAATGTTGACAATTTCTGACAAGGCATTTTCCAATTTTCGATGTTTTAAATAAAATTCAGCACGGGCAAGTGCTGCATTGACAGATTCGCCTTGTACCAAACCATGCTCCTCGACAACAAAGACTGAAGCAAGTTTTGAAGTCACATATCCAAATAATCCAGCATGAGAAGGTGTCAATGAGGAGGCTAACGCCTGCTTCTTAACAGTTAAAAATCTATCCCGTAACTCCTCGAATGAGGTGGCTCCTTCAAGAATGACCTGTTCAGGAATGAGATCGATAGCAGTGGTCACAAGATCATCACCTGCAGCGAGTGCTTTCAACTTTTCAATTTCTTTTTTACATGATTGCTTCTTATTGAGAGTAGCGTCTTGGAATGAAATGATAGCTGTTGTATACTGTTGTAATTTAAGGCTATCATTGAAATAATCAATAGATTCAGCGAAATGTTTTTCCAATTGTTTCAATTTGGCCTCTGTCTCTCTGACTTGTAAATCTTTCTTTTGTGCGTGAGCCGAATAGAGAGAGGAAATATCGTGAGCTTGTTCCTTGAGGGATTGTTCCATCTCAGATGCAAGTCTTAACTTCTCAGCATTCAACTCTTGGGAAAGTCTCTCTCTCAGCAATTGTAATTCTGTTTGCTTTTCTGAGAGTCTGGCTGAGAGTTTTTCCATTTCGAGCTTGGTTTGCTCCTCACCAATTGCTCGTACTCGATTCAATTTAGTTTCATATTCATGCTCCAAAGTACGTAAGAGTTGATCTTTGGTGGCAAGCTGCTTTTCAATTTGTTGAATACGAACAATCAATAAATCTCGATCTTCAACCGAGAGGGGGCCTTCTTTTGAGGCCAATTTAGAGCTATCCACCTGCACTGATGAATGAGTCATTGCATTCTCAATGGCTGCTGTGAGCGCAAGCTTTTCCGAGTTGAGCTGCTCGACGTCCTTCTTGATGACTCGTTGTGAGTTTTCGAGAGTGCTCATTCGCTCGGAAATGGATGATTTCTCACGATGAAGAGCCTCTAGTTGTGAAGAAATGGTTTGAAGTCTCTGTTGAGTCTTGTGTAACTCGGTTTGTAGAGCATTCTCGAGTGCTGATCTCTCCTCATTGGCCTTGCTATTAAACTCTTGAATCTTTTCTTCGTTGCCCGAGTTGTTCTCGTTGTTGTCAGTGTTGTCCATGTTGGCACTCTGTAAATCGCTCATGGCTTGTTTTTGATAGGCCTTCAACTCTGAAATTTCCTTCTCAAGCTTACGGGCCTTCTCAATATCATCCCTCAAGTACATGACGACTGCAAGAGAACCTGCTGAAATGACAGAAACCGAAAGCAACAAGTTGAAGATGAAGGAAGATGATTTCTTTGTGTTGCTACCGACTCCAGAAGGAGGTTTTAATTGATTTTCCTTGTTGTATTTGATGGATTCCATGTTGCTTGTGCTCGACTGTGTTGTTGTTGCCTTTGTTGTTGTTGAATTGGATGATGGTGAAGTGCCCGATGAAGAGGTGGTCGTATTATTGTTGGGAGTAGCAGCAGTATGGGTGAAACAGGAAGTAGAGAACATCATTCCTTGTTGTGGTTGTTGCTGGAAAGAAGGATTTTTGGCCGATGATGATGCTTTGGTTGTGAGAAGGTTTCTTCCTGATGTTGTGGCCACCAGCGAGGAAAAAACCTTGCGAGAGGCGATGGCTCTTTTCATTTTTATTTGGATGAATTCTTGATTCGTTTTCTTTTTGAGAAATTCTTGTTAGCTTGAGGAGACTTTCAAGGTGATGATATGGTGAAGGTTAGGACAAAGATCTAGAAGATGAATGGGAACGCCTGATTGGGAAATATTCAAATTGATTTCAAACTCGAATAATTTTTTAATAAAAAAATGTTTAGTTTGGTAAAGGCAATTCAAGAAGGAAATGTGGAAGAAGCAAAGAAACAGCTTTCAAAAGATTCTTTGAATTTGGAGGAAACAGTAGTAGGTATTGGATGGTTGGTAGATTGAGGAAAAATTATTTTCATCTCTCTATTCTATTCCGATATCGGAATCAACAGTATGTAAGTACTGATCTCGGTTTTGTATGATGCATTTGAATGGATTTAATGATTTTAATGGATCCAAAAGAATGTACGTTAATGGATTTAAGGAATGAGTTGTAACATGATTAACGTGCAACACTAGCCAGTACGTTTTGAATATTCGTCAGCGTTTGTCATTCGAATCGCCTTATTAGAAAGTAAGTGATTTGGATTCTTTACAACCTTTGATTGATTTAAATTTGGAATATTTAGTGTGTAAGTTTGGGACTGGGTGGAGTTAATGTTCTCAAAAATGATGTAATATTAGGTTGTAAGTTCATGATATTGATTGAACATTGACATCAATTGAAACTTGTTTAAGGGAGTATGTATTTATGTTGTCCAGACAATTTTGCTTGAAATCAAACTACAGAGTGTAAGTGAAACGGACTTGAGGTTTGGAGAACTCTAAATTTCGATTGGAAATAGAGTGTAAGTTTAGACTATGAGGGCATATTGGAGCTCACTTTGAGAAAGTGGGTAGGTGACATGTTCATATTGTCATTTTCAGCTGCAACGTTCATTTAGGAGGTTTGTGTTATCGTATGATGTTCTCAGTTCGCTGAACGTGCACAATCCTGCAGGGAGTAAGTTTTTACATGAGAAATTTTAAGAAAAATTAACACAGATGTTTAGTTTGTAAGTAGGTCACTATTTATTTCTGTTCACCCTCTCCAGAGTGTGAGTATTTGATATTTTGCAAGACTCAATTCATTTAACTTGGTACAGGATGTATGTATATTGGTTCGCTAGCATTGATTTTAGTAACTAGTTTTGAGACAACAGGAGGTTAGTTTTATTTGATGATCATCATCCCTTGAACTGTCACAATTAGCCTGTAAGTGAAATTTTCATTATTACACGAGATTTCATCACAGAGTTATGCATAGAATGTATGTACAATCTCTGACACTTAGTATTACAAATTACTAATTCGTATTTTAACAGGTGGTATGTATGGCCAGATTTCAAAATGTATCACTTTCATCAGATTGTAAGTATGTTGTAGAGCAAAAATTTCATACAATCTACGTTCTGTCATAAGGGAGTAAGTGATCCTGATGGATGTAGTTTATTCATTGAATGCAATGGATAGGGAGTACGTATCTATAGTTTTCTTATGAAAAAGAACAATCACCACGTTCAGTGGGTATGTTCATTGAAAACATTCGAGGTGAAATCATCATTTTCAAAACCAGCATGTAGGTTTTTTGATTATTATTTAGAAAAAGTACAATCGTGTGAGCAGCCTGTAAGTGGATTTTCAATGATTCATGAGCGTCATCTAAGGATCTTAAAAGGGAGTACGTAATTTCTAATTGTGAAGGTCACCACCCTCACAACACGCTTGTCAGAACGATTATGTGAGTATGATTAAGCGATAGAATTTGTTAAAAACTCGAACAAACGCATTTATAAGGATGTAAGTCTTGGAAGAGACCTTTGTTGAACTCTATTATATTTTAGTATGGAGTAAGTAAGGGTTATATTTCTTAGACTCACCACTGTCAACCAGGTCGTAAGTACCAAGATGTAAAGAATCAAGCACTCTACAGTATGCTCTAAGAATGTAAGTTCCCATCTCAATCATGATGACAGTTGAATTCTGCTTCAAAGACTGTAAGTGGATACAATATTCAACTCCCATTGTTCCATTTTCGATACGTAGATTGTAAGTACCATCTCATTATTGTATACTTGTGATACAAACAATATTTCAAGGTGGTAGGTGTTGTGTGATATTTTGTCATTGTTCTTGACATGGCGGTACAGGTAGTAGGTTTTCTGAGCGTTGTGCTATAATTTTATGAACTTTGGTGGAATTCTGTAGTATGTAAGTGTTCTTCAATAATCTGACATGTAAATGACATTTTCCACTGTTGAAGACTCCATTGTATGCAGCATGTAATTTTGGATTGTACGAAGTGGTAAAGCTTTTAATTGAGAAAGGAGCGCATGTCAACCACATCAACCACGGTTATGGTGAAGATTGGGGTCCTCTTCATGTTGCTATTTACCACAAACACAAGGACGTGATTGCTTTGTTGGTGCAAAATAATGCTGATCTTAATTACAAGGAAAAGGTAAGAGTTGGAAATGAGAGAGATTGAACATGTTCTTTTATTCACATACTGCAGTACGGAAGAACACCATTGGATCTTGCCAAGCAAGTGAATGCTTCAGAAGAAATCATTCAGTGGCTTAACGGATCAACTCAGTAAAAAATTTTCCACATTTGAGGTTTTCAAAGTAAATTCTTGTTATCCAATGATTGTCACTTCTTTGTGTTTGAATTTCACGAATTGATGACTTGAAATCAATATTGCACAAAGAGTGCGTGAGTGGTAGAAATGTGCTGACAAAGTGACACTTTTAGAATTGTGTTATTACAGCCACCTGTCAAACTCATCCAAAGTACTACTCTTTTTGTTAAAAATCCACTTATGAACCGTGTTCAACATTGGAAGTGGTTTAGAAATTGTGAAATGAGAGGGAATGTCACATCCAAAATACTCTGCCTCTAAGCGCGCTTGTTTCCACTGTTCAAAACGTGAGAGAGCATTATCAATATGACTCTGTAAAAAATTAGTGCAAAACACTCCATGCTTGACACATTCATTGATAAAATTTTCATCTTGTAATAAAATTGTATCTATGTAATCAACATTTTCTCTATTTGAAATGAGGGCAGTCAACGCAACGTCCTTATCGTTTCTGTACAGAGCACGAGGAAAATGCTTATTTTTGAAAATATCCCCTCTCACTTTTAACCATTCCATTATAAATTCCTTGTCTCGAAAGATCGATTTAAATTCATGATTCAACATTAAAGTGTCCAACGCACGGTTTTTGACATCTTGTTTCAAAATATTCAACAGGAAATGCTTGTTTTCCATCAAAAACTCGATAGAAGCAAATTCAATACTTTGTGGCTCTTGTAGAAATGCCTTTTCAATAATTTGTTCATCTGCTTTCAAATTGTCAGAAGCATATTCCAAAAGAAAACCATTTTCCGATATCACATCCATCATGTAACTCTTACACGAAAGAACATTCTGTGAAGCAAATCGAATACACTCCAAATCATAATCCAAAGCTAAATCCACAATTTTAGTATCATCTCTCAACTCCTCAGATGCAAATTTAAGAGCATTTCCATTTTGAGAAATAGCATCCATGACCACCTCTCGATTCGATTTCAATTCATTTGACATGAATTCCAAACAAAGTCCATTTTTTCTCACGATTTCTAAAGCCAACGAAGGATCTTGTCGAAATCGTGCATTGGCAAATACAAGTCCTCGTGGAAGGGATTGCAACACGTGAGGAAGTGAATCTTTCAATCGATCAGAAGCAAATTGTAAACATGAACCACATCCACGTTTGAGTGCTTCCATCACCCAATGAGTGTCATCTTTCAAATTGGAAGAGGCAAATTCGAGAGCCAGCGATTCACCATTTGAAATTAATTTTTTAACCATTCCATCCCTCATGTCTGGATCTGATTTGAGTTTGGATGGAACAATTTTCCAAATTGAAACTCCTTGATTCAAGTCAATGGCTTTCAAGAAAAAATTCTTATCATGTTGTAACTCGTGTGGAATAAAATGTGGATCAATGGGTCGACAAATCCAATGAGGAAATTTCATTTCTTGAAGTGAAATATTGGCTCGAGAAGCAATCTCAATAAAATTCTCTACCACCGCACGATCATTGAGAAATTCAATTGGAATCATGGCACTGCTTGATGGTGTGGATGTTGGTAATTTTCGAATGTGTTCCTCTCGTCGTGAAAACCATTTTACAAATCCACGAATTTGATTTTGAAATTTGAGATTGAGTTTTTTGTCTAGTTGTGAAAGAGGATGGAGTGAAGGATTAATTTTGTCAAAATCGTGTAAAATTAATTGAACTGGAATTCGATGACTCGTGTCTATGGTCGTGTTGTTTGGTGTCATGTTGGATGGATAACACAAGTTGGTGCGATTTGAAAAGTTGGTTAGAGAGCTTGCTTGATTATGAATGACATGTGTATTCGTTAGCGTTGGATTTGTATATGAAATGCCACTTGTCATTTGGGGTCTATCAAATAAATTCATACGAAGAATGGGATTTATAATCTTTTCTCCCTCTCTCAATAATTCTTCCAATGACTCCACTCGGAATTCATAATTCAAAGATTGAAACGGAATGACTTGTCCGGATCGGAACGGATGAATTTGTTCCTGTTCTTGATGTCTCAAACGTTGCTCAATTTCAAAAGCAAAATCACTGATAGGAGGGTTAACATAGGTGCCACTGGTGTTGTGGTTGTGGTTGTGAGAAGAAAGTGGCGTCGAATGAAATCGATGCATTTTTTAAGTGATTTTAATTTTTTCTTTTAACAAATTGAATTTCATTGGCGGGAAAATATTATGTTACAAAAAAGATGATCTGGTGTACTATGATTAAACAAAGTTGTTCTTCTTATGTTTAAACCAACAGACACTCTCTGGATGTTCAGAAAAATTCCCAGAGATCGATCCATTCAATTTTTCCTTTTTTTTTCTTTGAGAGCCCAAGCAAGCTTAAATCGGAAGAGGAAAGTTAAAAATAAAAATATCAAACAAAAAAATAGTGTACAACAGGAAGTGCTGTAGGTTTTCTTAGTTGTTGTTGTTGATGAAGATGAATATTTGGGGACATCATGATCCGAATAACACAATGATGATTACAACCTTGTTGTATATTGTACAATGTTGAACATGATATATTTGAATTACTCGTATCTTGCGGATCCATGAATTCATGTTTGCTTCTCTCAATCATGTATATTTAATCAATGAATCAAATAGATTTATACACAATATGGACGAATTAGGACTCGGAAAGAAGAAGCAATCACCAGGTGGTGCTGATCAAATGGAAGTTGATGAAGGAGGTGTTCAAGCACAAACCACCGAACAACAAGATGAATTGAGCGTGCTTCTTAAACCTCTTCAAGCTCTTTCGGAACAAGATCTCTATAAAAAGCTTAAACACATTGAGAGTGAGCTTGAATTTCATGATATCCAAGAAGAATATGTCAAGTATGAACAAAAGAACTTGAAAAGAGAATTATTAAGAGCCAAAGAAGAGGTGAAACGTATCAAGTCGGTACCTCTCGTCATTGGACAATTCTTGGAAATGATTGATCAAAATACTGGTATTATTTCTTCAACAACTGGTTCATCGAGTCATGTTCGAATCTTGAGTACAATTGATCGAGAATTATTGAAGCCCAATGCTTCAGTTGCTCTTCATAGACACTCGAGTGCTTTGGTCGAGGTGTTACCTCCTGAAGCTGACAGTAGTATTCAATTGGTTGGAGCAAATGAACGACCTGATGTTTCCTATGCTGATATTGGAGGATTGGATATTCAAAAACAAGAAATTAGAGAGGCTGTTGAGCTTCCACTGACACACTTTGGTTTATATGAACAAATTGGTATTGATCCACCAAGAGGTGTTTTGTTGTATGGACCTCCTGGTACAGGAAAGGTAAGTGAGAGTATATATTCAACATATGATTTTCAAATGACATTGAACCATTTCAACTGCACACGACAATTTTCCATTAATTGATTTTGTTCCTTACCTTATTGGAAACTTGTGCATCAATGCATATTTTTGTACCTTATTGCATGAATTGTCACCAACACCACTGCTTTTGGGATGCCTTTAATCTCTCCTCATGCTTTGACACTATCTTCACTTGCCAACCCTAACATGTAGACCATGTTGGCCAAAGCAGTCGCCCATCACACTACAGCTGCTTTCATTAGAGTCGTTGGTTCAGAATTTGTACAAAAGTATCTCGGTGAAGGTCCAAGAATGGTCCGTGACGTGTTCAGATTGGCTCGTGAAAATGCACCTGCCATTGTCTTTATTGACGAAGTCGATTCAATTGCCACCAAACGTTTTGATGCTCAAACAGGAGCCGATCGTGAGGTGCAACGTATTTTACTTGAATTATTGACTCAAATGGATGGTTTCGAGCAAACCACAAATGTTAAGGTGATCATGGCAACGAACAGATGGGATACATTGGATCCTGCTTTGCTTCGTCCAGGTCGTTTGGACAGAAAGATTGAATTCCCACTGCCAGACCGTCGACAAAAACGTTTGGTGTTCCAAGTTTGTACCAGTAAGATGAATTTAGCCGAAGATGTTGATTTGGAAGATTACGTGTCTCGCCCTGATAAGATTTCATGTGCTGAAATTTCTGCAATTTGTCAAGAGGCTGGTATGCAAGCGGTTCGTAAAAACAGATATGTGGTCACGGCCAAAGATTTTGAAAAGGGCTACAAGACCCACGTAAGAAAGACTGATGGTGATCACGAGTACTTGTTACGTTAAGCTGTTTCTTGGACTGCATTGTTGTGCTTGATAAATTAAATTTCTTCTGAAAGACTAAGTTATTACCTGCACGATAATAATTTGCAAAAACATTTCAATCTTGCTCAATGAAATCACGCTAGATCCAATGGCCATTCGTTCCCTAAATCTGTGAAAAGGCATTCTCTTCCTTTCGAGAGGAGACTACAGATATATCGTCGTCAGTGAAATGAAGTTGAGAATCAAAGTGGAACAAAGTTCAAACGTTTCGTCTCTTAAAAGAAAACGTCTTCCGATTTGAAACCTGGCTCCCTGTCACTTGTCTTGATGCTTACTGACCTTTTTGCGCCTGTTTTTTCCATCTGATATCTCCACTATCTTCGCAGGATCCCTATCAAACAAGTTGTCAAATCGTTCATGGTTCTCTTTACAAAAGAAAAGCATACACGTGTGCACATCTTCGTCACCGTTACACGCTAGCTGTTTCATTCAACACGAGATCTCTGGGCGTGACATTTGGCAGCTTTAATTTCCTTCATCTTTCACAATTGCATTCAATCTTGTAACAATTGATCAGACCTTTTTTCTCACACACAACAGTTTCCTTTTCCGACTTGCAAGTCCACATCAAAACGCGAAAGCCCATTCAATTCTCTTGCCCACGAAAAAAACCATCACACGAAAACCCATTCAAAATCAGTTCAACCATCACATCAACTTTAAGATTCTGTTGACCTTTCCCTCTAGTGTCATCATCTCTCGACTTTGTTTTTACTCCGACCTCACGTGGATTGAAAATTTTTCATCTTTTCAAACAACAACAAGGAGCTTCGAAGTGAAATTTGAGATAGATCTACCACGTGCGTTTCTTGTTATCTATTCAAAATCCAAATTCAACATTTGGTTTGAACGCCTTGAAAGGAAACCTCTTCCAACGGTTCAAAAACAACACATCACCATCTGCACGCTCTATTACTAGTTGTAGAGTGTGCTGCTTGGTCATCAACAGCGAGAATTGTGGTGTGGCCATCATCCTTGAATCAATATACCAAAACGATTCAATCTTTCCAAATAGAACCAACGATCCTTCTGTTGTGATTGTTGTTGCTGCAATTAATCATTGGATAGAAATTGTCGTTAACTCTTCACTAATAATTGATCCAAATTTTCCAAATTCACATCTGTGGCATTCTGTTGCATTCGATTGAATTGGAAATCCAACAAATTTGGAAACAACAACAAGACACTTTAAAAAATTGGCATAGTTGTGAGATTTCAGAAGAATCAACAACAACAATAATAACGCCGGCATCATTCCTCCACTCATTGGTGTTTGCACGACGAACGTTCAACAACCAATTGATTTCATAAGGCGCAAACAACACGATCGTTTGGTGTGAAATTCACAAAAAGAGTGACTCTCGAGTGGTTGAGTGGAATTAATATTTTAGAACAACAACAACAACAACAACAAGGAAGAAACCATTCTTCTTCTTGCTGCCGCTCCGCACGACAATTGTGCCATTTTCTGATTCTTGTTCTTTGACTTTACACACATGTGACTCGCCGCGTTGGTTTTGCTAAATTCAAAATTTAAACATTCACTTTTACATTCACACACAGACGTGGCTAATTAACAAAATCATTCAACAACAACAATAATAACAACAACAAGTATGAATCCTTCGAGTCCTTGGAATCAAAACTTGGAAGGATTGATAAAACAAGAACAAGTTTCATCTTCGATAGGTAAACAACATCATCGAGGGAGTAGTGGAATGGAAGGAAAATCTGTTTCGTGTTCTCCTTCGACGACTTCGACCTTGCTCTCTGAAATGATGACGTCGTCGACGAGCTCGGCTTCGAAATTTTCACACTTTACAACAACTCAATTGAGCAATGAAATGTTAAATTCAATTCGGAATGATATTCACATGACGAAGCCATCATCTTCGATCGGAGGAGCAACGATGAATCCTAGTAGTAATACTTTATTGCCGAATATGAATTTGGCAGGAATTGCAACCACTTCGAGTGCTCTTTCATCACAATCTCCACAGCAACTGTCAGTAATCATTCCATCAGCCTCTCCCCTTTCTACCTATGCCAGCACTTCCATTCATCATCCACTAGAGAATTTAAACCAAACCAACACTCCCTCTCCTCTCACTCCTTCCTCAACGACCAGTGCAACCACAACCACTTGCACACCATCCACAACTTTTCTCAAATTAAATGTCGAAGAACTACTTGTTGATTTACATCAAGAACAACAACAACAACAACACCACCACCACCATAATACTCATTCAATATTGAATCCTTCTCCTCCTCAACAAACACCATTTACGAAATTAGTGCAATTTCAAGTGTCTCAGCAACAACAAATCTTGAATAATCCTTCTCGTTCAGCTTCAACTCTGCTGTCCAATACTTCTTCTTCTACTACTGCAACTACCACTGGTCCAACATCAACGCAGATCATTCCATCCTCTTCCGCCACTTCCACCACTCCATTGATGTCTTCATCGAGTCGAAGTTTCGATTCCGTGATGCAGCAACAACATTTGGAAAGTCAAAATTCAGCTTCCGTCTTGTTGCAACAACGGAATTCTTCATTGACGAATACGAATTTGATGAATCAAGTGATGAATGCTTCTTCGAATGTGGTCAATAGTTCTTCATCGACCATGGCGGCGACGAGCACGACAACGACAGGTTCACAAGTATTGTTGCCCAAGCAATTTACTATATTTGGGAATCAGAATTCTGATGCATCATCGCTCATGATGTCAAATATCCTTTCGAGTCATTTACCAAATACTATGGATGACCAAAGTAGGAAATCATCCACTGCTACAACATCATTCTTACCATCTTTGACAAGTGGCAGCAATCGGATGCCTTCCTTAACCACATCATCAACAACAACAACTTCGAGTAATACTCCAAATGCATTTACAACGTTTCAAGTCGCAACAAACCATGACACAAGCAATATTGTTCAATTATCAAGTACGTTGGGAGAACCCGTTACAGAATTGACCATGACGTTTCAAGATTCTCAACCATTGACTACAAGTTCGAATGCTCCCATGACGACAACAAGCATGCGAAAGAAAAAAAGTGGAATGACAAGTGACACCTCTTCGATAGGAGAAGCATCGCCGACCTTGTCACAACAAACATCGAAAAAGAGAAATATTCATCCAACCTCAATGAAAATGGAAGGAGTAGGAACAGCACCTTCAAGAAAGAAGAATAAGGGAGGCCCCATGCAAACATGTCCTCCCTTAAAAATAATTCCATCCTCGTTGACAAGTGTCACTTTTCATAACACCTCTCAATCGAGCTCTTCTTCGATGACTCCTACAGTCACGACTCCTACCAACTATTCCATCATGAGCTCTGCTGGCAGTCATTCTAGTAGTAGTGGTGGAAATATTCAATTCGTCACGAATGAATTTCAAGAATTCAAGTCAGGACAACACGAAACGCAAAAACGACAACGAAAAGAACGAATTTACAAATTCTATTCGACTGTGCCTTCTAATTTTTCCACACAGCCATCGTCCTCTTCGACAGGAACGAATTTGAATGAAAATTCCTCAACAACAACTTCTCAACAAATGTATCATGAAGAACGATCTCCGAGTTTTTCATCGTCCTCTCCAAGAATGTAAATAAAATATTTACAACAACTAAGGGTGTGTGAATTTGGATTTTTTTTTGTACGTTCCTTACGAAACAACAATTTGAACCATCAAATTCAATTCCACCAACTCTTCAAACTTAGTCTCATGAGAATTTATAGTTTACAAAAAAATGAGTCAACAACAACAACTTTTTGAAAATCAAATTGTGATCATTACGGGAGCAGCAAGAGGATTGGGACGTTCTCATGCATTGGCTTTTGCGGGTTGCGGAGCGTATGTGGTAGTTCAGGATATTGATGAAAAGGCATCCCGAGAAACGGTTGAATATTTGAACAAACAATTTCCGAGTAGGTGTTTTGTACAACTCGATCATGGATAGTTAATACAAGTAATTATTATTGTTGGATGTCATGACTGTATGGATGCTTTTGAAATTTATTTTAATTTTCATCAATGATTGCAAAATGAATATTTTAAATAATATTGGTTTAATCATCACGGCTTTGATCAATGTACAATTTGGTCATTTTCATGGATAATCAATGAACGAAAAATTTTGGTTGACTACGTACAACACGGTAAAGTTAAAACTGGTGTTAGAGCAATCGCCTCGAATCATTCCATTACCAATCCTGAAGGTCCATCCCAAATTATTGAACAAGCTTTGAAATCCTTTCCTCCTCAAGCTAAAATCACAGTTCTTGTGAATAATGCAGGAATTTTGAGAGATAAATCCTTCTCGAACATGACCGAAGAGCAATGGTCACAAGTCTATTCCGTTCACTTGTATGGAGTTTTCTTAATGACACGTCAGGTTTGGAACATTTTCAAGAAACAACAATATGGTCGAGTGATTTTCACAACTTCAGCTGCTGGTTTGTATGGAAATTTTGGACAAGCCAATTACAGTGCCTGTAAAGAAGCTTTGTGTGGATTGGCAAGAACGTTGGCATTAGAAAGTGAGAGAATGGGAAATGTTTGTGTGAATTGTGTGAGTCCATTGGCTGGTACACAAATTTTGCAACAATCGAATATGGAGAAGGAAATGTTAGACTCATTGAAAGTGGAGATGGTTTCTCCTTTAGTTGTTTTCCTATCTTCTTCGAAATGTAAGGAAAATGGACAAATCTATGAAGCAGGAGGAGGAGTCATTACCAAAGTGAGATATGAACGTGGAGTTCCATTCTATTGTGACACAATTCAAAATGCACTTAGTGTGGAGGTGATTGAAAAAAATTGGGAAAAGATTAATCAATTTTTCACCATCTCTCCTGACGCAAATGTAGATCCAGAAAATAATGGATTTGAAAGAAATCCAAAGAGTGCTGCTGAGAGTTTCCAAAACATTATCAAACATGCAACCAAGTTGCATCAAAAGAGTGCTACTTCTACCAGCAGCGATTCTAGAGAGAGTGTTACACGAGATGTCACTACTACCTCTACTCAACAATCATCATCTACAACAACAGCAGAACCCAAAATTGTTGCTGGACTTAAACGAGCAGTTTCTCCCAATGAGGTTCATGTGGATGGATACAAGTGCTCTGAATTATTCGGAAGAATGGTCATACTTTTCAAGGAACATACTGACCTAGTTGGAAAATTCAAAGTAACCTATGTATTTGATTTAATTAATGACCAAAACAAGAATATTAAGAAACAATGGACTCTCAATATCAAAAATAAGGACGATTGTGGAGTTTATTTGGGAGCTCCAGTCACCACAGAAGGAGACAAAGTTGTCGATTGTGTCATGACCATGACCGATTCGAATTGTTACAAGGTCATGACAGGTCAAATTTCACCACAAAGGTAAGTGTTAAAGTGCATGTCTTTAATGGAAATACGTTGAACTCGATGATTTTTAAACAAAATATTTAACAGTGCGTACATGAGAGGAATGGTCAAAGTTAAAGGAAGTATTGGACTAGCTCTCAAATTAACAGGATTGCAAAAATTATTGACTCCTCAACCTTCATTGTAAATTTTTCACACTACAATAATTTCAAGATTAGTTTTCAAATAATTGCAAACAAAGACCACAATGTTGTTCGCGTATCACGTTTCTTGTGATGCACTCGTATTTGGAAACTAACTGCGCGTCCCAAAAAGTAAAAATATCTCCCAGTACATGTTCGAAAACAACAGTTTTGCCTTTCCATTCCAACAAGGAGATAGAAAACAGATGCGTCCAACGTCAACTTCCAACACACAAAAAATGTCGCTCACTTCAACAACACGTGATATTTCATCAACAACAACCACCACAACCTCCAATTCTCAACATTCTCTGTTACTCCAATTCATCTCTTCTTCTCTTCCTAGCATTGTAACCACAGCGGTCAATGACAACAACAAACTCAATGTCAACGGTTATGCCAACATTACTCTCAAAGATGTTCAACCGTTATGGGTCAGTTATTCAACACTCGCCAACAGTTCCTTCTTTCTCGTGTGTTACATGATTTACTTTTTCATTGTCGGCATTTTTCTAAAACGAGTTTCAATGAAAAAGAAATTGAAAAGAAATCATAAAATCTTGTTAACATTGACTGTCATTTTTGTGGGTATTCAAGCATGGACGCAATTGTTGAGAATTGTCAATGATTCGTTGGGGATTATTGGGAGGAATGTGTTGGAACAGGGACAATTGGTGGAATGGCCGTTATTTGTGGCAATGAATGCGGTGGGAGGAATTACAACGATTTTTACATTTTCGAATTTAATTTCGTTGTTTGTGATTTTGTTTGTGGTTCAGAATATTTTGTAAGTGAAATATTTTTCGATGTTTTGTAATTTTTACAATTTTTTTTTAACATTTGTTATTTTCTTTTATTTACATTGTCAATTTATTGAACTAGTTGGGAAACTGCAAAATTAGTGCGGGCCATTTCGGAAAAATCATTCAACGTGATTCGAGTGGTCATGCTTGTGGTGAATGTAATTTTTATTTTACTGACTTTTTCCTTAGTTCTACTCGTTGGAGTGTGTTTTTCCCTTTTTGGATTAGGAATACTCTCGAAGAATGTAGCCACCGCGGTTTTCGTGTGTGTTTTTATCTTGGTTGTGCTGATGCTCTTTTTCGATTCCTTTATGGTTTTGACATCTGGCATTTTAGTCATCAAAACCATCAAAGACACTACTGCAAACACTGTGAAAGCCATCACTCTTCGACCTCTCGAAAAACAGAGCTCTCGATCCTCCTTCGATTTACAATCTTTTGAACGTCGAGTTCAAAGTCCTTTCAAAATCACATTCGGTCTTCTCATAGGCATGTTGACCTGCATGTTCATGGAAGTCATTGCTGGAGGCATTGCTAGTGCCGTTGCAGAAATTGAAACTCTTCGATTAGTGTGGTACATTTTCAATTGCTTGGGAGTTTTATTATTTGCAGTCATTGTTTTGTTTTTATTCTTTCCATTATTCTTTGGAAATGAAAATGCATTTGCAGAAATTGAGAAACGATCCAGAATGAATTCAACTCAAAGACAGCAACCACAAAATTCTCAGAATGGCGCGAATGATGGTGTAAATTCTTCGAAAAATTTATCATGTGAAATTTACATTGAGAATGGCATACAAGTTCCAAGTTCCTTTTCACATGTGAAAATTCCTTCTTCCTCGAACGAGAGTACTCCAACACAACGATATGAAAAAGCCTTACTCTCTCCTCAGAATCCTCAATCGTTAACAGTCACAGCAAGATTAATGACTGATCCTCCAGTGAGTCCATTATACAGTCCAAGTACTGCTTCGATCATCACAGAGGAGAATGAAAAAAAAGCACAACATGAGAACCATGTCATGGATGAGGAAATTAAGGATGGATATGAAGAAGAACATTCGAATTCTACTTCGAACTCAAGTCAAACCAATGAGCCATAAGAAGTGCTGAAAAGACGACTATTTACAAACTTTATCACTCACCAGCTCTGAAAATCACAACCTTTGAGTTCCATAATAAGAGAAACCAACTCATTAATTTTGGAAGTTTTTCTTTTCTAAAGCGTTCATGGTGCTTTGATGTCGAGAGCAAGTTTCATTCCATTTGGTCAACAGTTTCGATTTCTTCTTTTCATGCTTTTTGACAAGTTTTTTCAATTCCTGGTTATGTTGGATGGTCAACAATTGCTGATTCAATTCCGCAATGGTTTGTACTCGCGTAGTGAATGATTTTGTGACCTCAACGAACTTATTATTGAGTTTAACATACGCGTCCTCAATACGTTTCAATCGGTTTTGGGTATCAGATTTGTAAAATGGAACACCTAACTGTTCACCGATACTATTCAGTTTCTGCTTTGCGCTTTCATAACATTGTTGGTATGATTGAGATATCTCTTTCTCTAGCAAGGTTAACATGGTCATTAACATCTCACAACTTGGTTCGTTCGTGTTTGTTGTTTGCACTAAACCACGGAACTGATCAAGACTTTGCTCAAAGCTTTTCAACAATGAATGTTCTTCTGGAAATAACCATCCAGCCATCTCAGTCTTAAACTTGGACAACGATGCCAATATTTGTGCGCATTCCTTCAATTTCAATTGATTGCCTTCTTGACCCATACGCTCTCGAACTTGTTCAGCGGAGGTGCTTTGCTCAATGTCAACACCTGAAGAAGAATGACCGATCGATTCAATCTCCAGATTTTTGATTTTTTCCAAAGGTTCAATTTTGATAAATTGTCCAATACTAATCCAATTCGTGCGAATGTCTTGTCCTATTTGGTATTCGATGCGCAATCGACATCGCTCTGGTTGTACAATCTTACCATGAAATGTACGTCCTTGAATATCTTGAAAAGTATAGTTCGCAAGTTTCCATTCTGAGCTCTTTGACTTTTTCAAAATACTTTTGAGGGGAATGAATTCTCTGATTTCGGGGGTCACTTTCATTGTTTGTACTTGGCCACAATCATCTAGAACCTCGATAGTTGAATTATCTTTTGCCGTGTTCAACAACAATCCATAACTATTGGAATAAAAATGAGATCTTATTCTGTGTCCTTTTTTGAACTGGTCAACTTCGGAATTAATAGAGTAGACAGAAAAAATCTGGGTTAGGGTACAAGAAGAGACTTTTCCAATTGCTTTTCTTCGGCTCAGTTTGAACTCCATATCATTCCCTTCCCTTTCCACCCAGAAATATGTTTCATAAATAGTGCCATTATCAACCCAATCCACAGCAAATGCTCTTCCATCGTTAGTATCAAGTGTGGTTTGGTGTTTAAAAAGGTGTTCATACTTTGCCAGGCTTTCAAGCAACTTGTCGTCACTGGACATGGTTTTGTGATTTTTTGTGTCTTTGCGTTTGTGTCGTTCAGGAGTGTCCAGTTTTATGATACCGAAGAACAGACCATTTTTGGACTTTGTGATTTCAAATCTGCCGTCTCTCTACCGTAGGTATTTGGACTTGTTTAAGATATCAAGATTAAAGTTTGGTATTTCACTTGCATGAGAATTTTTCTATAAATGAAGATTATTGCAGTTCAATGTCTTTCCTTAATGTGTACTGTGAAAACATGTCGTTTCACTCCAGTTTTTCAAAGGATTCGAACCTTGATTTTACAGTTGATGATTGCAAGAGTAACCTCCAAGAACCAAACGGAGAACGACCAGCGAATTTGTTCATTCAATTCGAATTTTGTCACTCAATGACAGTTCCTTGACAAGTGGTTCTTCAATGAATGAACAACAACAATAAACAAGAAGAAGCTTCCAACGTTGGTCTGTTGCAAATTTACATGAATTTCATTCTCCGAATGTACTGGAAGCTCGAGATTTTTCATGCTTTCATTTCGACAGCTTTCACATTATTCTCATTTGACTGCAAACGATGGCCACAGTTTGCATCTCTCGCTCAGTTGAGTTCAGTTACTTTGATATCGTTTGAAATGGAGGCAATTCTCTCTTGATGGAAGTCCAACCCAATTGTGTGTCGTTGCTGTCACGAGAACAGTGTTCTCCCATATTTTGACATTTGGCATGATGGTCGGTTACTATTTGGGGCAAGAGCCGCAGTTCATGGCACTAATACTTTAATGCACTACTTTCCATTCCGCAACGCAATTGCCAAACAGCTTCGAAAGGTTCAAGTTGCTGGCAACATCATCTCTCGTGCTGGCTTGTCTCTCTCGCTCAAATGATTCCACAAATCTCTCTGATTACTGACAGCTCCACAAAAAAACACCTCACTTCTTCCACCTGTACACTAGAACACATTGCAACCCAACAACAACAGCCCCAACAACCAATTGAACTGTTGTTGCCATCTCTCTCGCTCACAACTTCCAATCATAATTTCTCTCTCTCTCTCAAAACTCAACACAAATTGGAAGAAGAATATAAAAACAATTATATATTTCAATAGTAATAACAACACTAATAACAACAAGACTCATGTCCAACTATCAATCCATTCCCGCTCTATGGGACATTGCAACCTTCTCCTCCGACATTTATTCCATCGAACATTTTTTCGCCAATTCCACCAACAACAATTCAACTTTTAAAAATTCCACCAACACTCCAACATCCACTGCATTTTCTGCCTATAAAATCAATGTTCTCGCCTTCAATTCTGCCTTTTTACTTTGTTATCTCATTTTGGCATTTATTTCAATTGCGAGTTATGTCATGCAATTCAAACACATGAAACGAAATCAACATGTCTTGTTTTGGATTTTGTTTACGTTGGAGGGATTGGTACTGCCTGGAATGTTGACGAGATTGGGATCAGAGTTTGGATTTTTGCATCCCGTGTTGAATGAGGGAAGGACCATTACGATTTTAATCAAGACATTTGATCGAGGATTTAATGTGTTGATCTTGTATGTGGAAGTCGTGTGTATGACTTTTATTACCTTTGTATTGTAAGTTTTTTGAGTTTATTGTGAATGCATGTGTGAGTACATGTATGACTCAAAATAATGATTCAATCATGATTTACTGTGGTTCCTCAATGATGACATTTGACACTTGAAATGACACTTTCAGTTTACAAACCACTAGGGCTATCAATGCAATTACTGCAGAAACATTTTCAAAGGCTAGAATTGCCATCATTGCTTTCATCATCCTTCTAGGCGCTGCTTTTGTCATCATGTATTTACTGACCATGATTTTGGGCGGAGTTACTGTTGCGGCTTTAAATCCTGCGAGCGGAATTAGTGCCGATGCAGCCAATTATTTCCTGCTTGCCATGTATTTGGTGGCTACATTGTTATTTATGATTGCTTCGATTTTGACCAGTGTGTTCATTAATGTAAGTCTACAAATGAATGTGTGAACAAAATTTCTATATTTATGGATATTATTGAAATGATGAAATAGATTATTGGAACTAAACTCATTCAATCTCTAAGACAAGGCCGAGAACGAGTCAAATCCATGATGGCCAAAGGAAACGGTTCCAACAATGGCACTTTGAACTCGAAAAGTCAAGAACAAATTCGAACGTTTGAACAGAAACGTATCGCTCTCAAGAAAACTATGGCCATCCAAATCGGCATGACCGTGTGTCTGTTTTTCCAAGTCTTTGGAGCTATCTTTATTGCCATTAATATTGCATGGTCGATGGCCATTTTAATCTTTCAATGTTTCTTTAGCATTTCTAGTATTGCATTCATTTCATTAATTTTAGCCATTTATAGTCCATTAAGGGAAGTTCAGAAATTGTTTAGAGCGGATTCGAATAGTAGTTTGAATTCGGCAACGACTACTGGAAAGCAACAACCTCATCATCGAAAAGACAATCATGCAGACCGAACGGATGAAGATTTGGCCAATAGTAGTAGTGTCGTGATTCATGATGAAAGTGAAATTGCAATTGTCGACGACGAGTTGAAAGATCCGCAAGTGAAACATGTCAAGATTGTTGATCAATTTGAGGAGGGTACAATGGTTGGGGCAACAACAACAACCACTCCTCATGGCGCCATGAGCACCTCTAGTAACACTGCCATGATGATGATGACCATTCCAAGAGAACTTTTGGAGGCTGATAAGATTTCAACTCCAACACTTGTGGAGATGGAACTTGTGCAACATCAACAAGAAGCTCATGAAAGAGAAACTTCATCCTCTTCAGATACGGATACTCCACCAGGAGTGACTATGGTGTGAGAATATATTCGGGTTTGTTATATCTATAAACAAGTCAATGCATTGAGAATTCCCAAAACTCTTCCTTTTCTGTTCCATTGAGAATTATCGCCTCAATCTTCTGTTCCAAGAACTACTTGAATCTTGTTGTTTATCGCTTATTTATGAACGGGAGGAGTGTAGGAAGAGAGATTTTTGCAACCAAACATTCGAATATTGGTTTTGAACAAGTATTTGCTATGCTTCAATGAATCTTCTCCTCGATCTGTAAAATCATTATAGGACATTTCCAGGTTAGTGAGATTGGATAGGTATGGACTTGAGGCAATAGAAAAAGCTCCGTCGTCAGCAATCTTATTGAGACCGAGATCTAACGAGGTGAGATTTTTCATATTTTCACATTTGACAATGCTCATTGCACCATGATCACCTAACTTGTTACAATATAAATTCAATTCTTTCAATTTTGATAAATATGGGTTCGAGGCCAATTTTGAAGCAAATTCTGATCCGAGAGAATTATTTCTCATGGACAGAAAAGTCAAATGACTCATGTTTGGACTTGTGACAATGGAAATGGCTCCTTCATCTTCAATTTTTGTATCTCCCAAACTTAAATACGTTAAATTCTGCATTTTTGATACAAGTAACAAGGCATTTGACTTTCCAACATGATTTCCTGAAAGATTTAAACTTGTCAAGTTTGTTAAATGATCACTTCCAACCAATGCCATCACTCCTGACTGTTCAATTGAATTGGATTCCAAATTCAGAATTGTTAAATTACACATTTGAGGACTCTCTGCAAGGGAAATTGCACCATCGTTTCGAATATCGCTAAGTAATAAACGTAGCTCTGTGAGTTTGGCATTTCCTTTCGCGAGGTGTTGCATTCCTTGAGGCCCAATTCTTGAATAATCAAGATCAAGCACTTGTAAATTGCTCATAAATGAGCTCGTTGACAGAGCCTGAACTCCACATTCACTGATATCATTTCCCGACAGGCGTAATTCTCTCAATTTTGACATGATCGGGCTTTGAGCCAATTTTTCGACTCCAACGTTTGTGATGTTACAACTGTTGGCACTTAAAATTTCTAAATTCTGCAATTTCGTACATGTTGCTATCGCTGTAAAAGCACCATCTCTCATCTCATAATTATGATTCAAAATTAATTCTTTTAAACATGATGCATATTCGCTCTGTACAATTTTCTCAACCGCCCTTGTTTTTTGCATGATTTGTGTCAAATCCAACGAGGTAATATTTACGTGTTTACATTTGGACATTAATTTCAACCGATTTTCCAAATTATTAGCAGAAAAGTGACTCAATACTCTCATATCCACGGACACAGGAATCTTTCTGGCAAGCCAACTCCATTGTTTACAAACCAAAAAACACTTTTTAATGGTATCAAAATGAAGAAAGGACATGATCAACAGACAAACTTCATCTGGAAAACAACTCGGAGTGTAGGATGCGAGCGATGATTCATTACTTGCTGATGATTTTTGTCCCATTTTTTTTTGTAATTTCGTTCCTTGATTGGAACTATGAACTTGTTGTAATCTCTTTGTTGTTTCAATAAAGTCTTCCCTCAATGTAACATGGTGTGAACGTAATCGTGTGGAAAGATGAATAGGATCAATCAAATACGAACATTAAGGAACATGGGAATCATCGATTTCATAACAATCTTCTAACCATCCTAAATCATTGAAAAAAATGTTATTACAACAATCAAAGATTACAATGATGGAGTCTTTCTTTCAAAAGGCTACTTGGTCCTTTGGTGGTCGGAGTAGAAGAAAATTGATGAAAAAGAAGAGGCTCCGTTTCGGTTATAATTCATCATCATCATTGGAATTGAATTCCTTTGTGAATCACGAGTTTGGAAAAGCCAATTTTCATTCATTGTCTATTTATTGTTCCGAATCATTACCAACATCAGCATCATCATTGAATCAAAAGTCTAATGAAAAGGAGCAAAGGTCGGATGAAAAAGAACAAAATTCTGGACAAAGTAGTCAATCCAATGAACAGCATGAAGAAGATTGGCGTGATTTTGGATTATTCAGTGCCAGACGGTGTCTCAACATGTTTGGTTTGTCAGGATTTATTTATCTTAGTATGGCTGCCTTTTTCCATTTCAAGAGAAAATCGGTAAAAAACAATGAAATGATGAAAGTGTTGGTGGATCAAGACTCGAATATGGATCAGTTACTTGCTATCGAGAATGAGGCAAAGTTATTGAACTTGTTAAAACAGGTCTTGTTCTTGATCAAATCATATCAGTATATTGAGGAATTTTTTCATCCAGTAAGTCAATTGTGTGAAAATGAACGTCTTGATGAATAATGCTGAATTTCGAAACAGTTTTTTATTCAACGCATTTTTGATATCGCCATATCCAAAAACCAACCTCTGAATCAAGTGGCATTGGATATTTTGGCGAATGTGTTGAGAGAACAAACATCGCCTCGTCTTTCAGAGGAATTTTTCAATATTTCAACACAACAACCACAATATAACATGATTCAATTAATGTTGAATTCTGTTTTGAGAGATAATGATTCTGCAACAATTGAAGCCGTCAATGCATATTTCAATAATGTCAAATCAGAACACACACTCTCAGACCAACAAAAGAAATCATTGGACGTACTCATAAATCTATTTTCAAACAAACATTTGCTGTGGAGAATGAATGCTGAAACGAACGATGAAAAAAGCGTCTATCGTGAAAAATTACTGGACATGGTGAAGAATGGAACGGCGCAAGAATTTGAGATTGCCTTGAAATGCATTCTTCAAATATTTAAAAGAATCAATAGAGAAGACTTGTCTGGTAAAATAGCAGTGGATCATGTTTTAGGAGTGTACAGATTTCTGTCCCAGCTTTATGACACAGATGTTGTAAAAGTACACGAATTTTGGGATCAAACTGATATCTTTAACAAAGCCTACGACACCAAGCCAAAGACCAAAGATGAAAATCAGAAATTACTAGACAAGATTGAAGATTCACATTCTGTCATGACCTCTCTGTTACTGAGCTCTGCCTTTACGTATGCCATGCTTGAGAGAAGTCCACAAGTGGTTCTTAACAGAATCATGCTTGCAAAAACAGTATTCAGAAGTGTTGTTCTTTTTGGATTTACCATGTATCTTGAAAAGTACAGAGAATCTTACCAAGAGCAATTAGAAAAGAATCATAACGGAATGCAAACAATGAATCTTTCTGATTATCTTGAAATATGGAACAGCGCACAAATCAGATACATTTACAAAGACATGTTGGTGCTCAGTGTTGTCTATGGATTTTTGGGATTCTGGTCATTATTGCCCATGTTGACATCATTTGAAAAGTGAGAGCTCGTATAATATATTGGGTGTTTAGTTTACTGGGTGTATTTACAAATAATTTACAAAACTAGGGAATAGAGAGCTACTTTTCGTTAAGAGTCAGTGTGAAATCCATGAAGGATTTTTCAACAGAAGAATGAACGACCAAGCTATTCAATTCTTGTCCTCTCGTTCTCAAATCCTTAATAAACTTCAAATTAGAGAAACAGATTCCCTCATGGCCATACCAATTGGGGTTTCTTGGTTTCAGTTCATTGACTTCTTCTTGACATTTGGCATCCTCATCTTCGATCCATGCATCAATAGATTCTATGAGCTGATCCAATGTTGAAACCATTTCAGAATAGTTTCTCTCAGTCATGTGTTCCTTTGTTTGTTGCAAGTAATCATGAACAATGACCTGTTTTTTTGTGGCTTCTGAAAGTTCTGACTCCAAAGTATAGACTTCAATCGGTTTTGCTTTTCCTTTCAATTTGACAATATCTACGAACAAGCACAAGAATTTCTTAGAGACGAGATCATATGTGTTTTGACCAATTAGAATACTCGTGTCATAACGTTTGTTAAGAGTTTCTAATCGACCTGCTGTGTTGACACTATCACCAATGGCCTATGGTAAATATATTTTGAAAAATTTTTGTGTGTTTTGTCAAAATAGTAATTGAAATAAGTCAGTAAAAATTCGTATATTACATAAACACTTACTGTATAATTGAAACGGTCTTTGGAACCAACATTTCCAATCATTGCATTTCCCGTGTTGACTCCTGCTCTTATTTTAATTTGTGGCCATCCTTCTCGTTTGCATACTATTCTTAATTTTTCCATTCCTGCCATCGCTTGAAGTGCAGCATGACAGCATCGTTCAGCATGATCATCCACAATTTTCAATGGGTGTGAAAACAAACTCATGGTTCCATCTCCAATGAACTTGTCAATGACACCATTGTTGGTTTCCACAGCCTCTGTAATTATTCTAAAATATTCAGAAAGAACTTTCAACAAGACGGATACGTGAGCGGTTTCAGAAAAAGTTGTAAAATCAGCAATATCAGTGAACATGATTGAAGTGCTGCAACTAGTGACACCAACTTTGGCTGCAATACCATTTCTCACAATATCTTTGACAATTTCTCGTGGAATATATTTCATGAAAGAATGAAGTGCACTCTTGACTAGTTTGGTTGAAGTCTGAAGTAAATGCAGTTCATGAACGGTTTTGAGTAATTTTGAGCTTTTCACTTGATCCACTTCAAGTCTTGAAATTTTTGACATGTCACGTGCCACCTTCATGATTGAGTATGACAATAATTGAGTAATAAGAATGGCTAAAACAGTTCCCAATACGACCAATATAATTGAAAGTGACAACAATTCTGGTGAGCTTGTGAATACAGTTTTCACAAAGCCATAATTTTCAGTCACCAAAACCACGACCCAATCCAATCCATTGCCTTCATTAAGAAACTGCAAAGACACTCGATATTGGTCAACAAAAAATACTTGTGTCGTGTTATCAGTTGAAAGAGCTGATAAATTACCAGTTTTTGGATCTCTCAAAATCACCTTCTTATCCATGAGAATTGTAGCAATTTTTGCAAATATTTCATTCGTTTGAGTAATATGCACTCGACTCATATCCGTGACATTAACGGACGAGACTCCAATAGATGTGGTGAGAATATATCCACTTCGTTCAAGAATGACAATTTGCATGGATTTCGTTTGCATGTCTTGATATTGCTTGATGGTGTCATTTAGGACGTAATCGAGTTGATACAAGTCGAAATGTGCAACGAGGACTTGAGTGATTGGAGTTTTGGTCACGACATTGTTGGAAATGGAAATGTTAAAAGTATTGAAATTGACAGCAGTAGCTGCACCAATGGAAATGCAACCGAGTGCAAAATTATTGTAAATGGAACTCCATGCAAAGTCTGGAAAAGTTTTTTTAGAGCCGGCCAAGTACCTATTCGGAATTTTTTGAGATTCAACAGTTGAATGGAATTTTGAATTTGAAAAACTTACCAAGGACGTTTGGTTGGATCGAATCCTGTGGATGTTAGCATTAAGGTTTCTGCTTGATAATATTTATCATAGGAATACAGTCTAAGGGTTCCGTCTCCATTGGAAAATCCAACACGGTTTCTGACAGCTGACATTTCAATGTTCGCCAATACTTTGAAACTATTTGCATAGTGGAAGATTGTTGCCATTGGATAACCAAGTTTCGTTGGTGCAAATACATTAATAATCTTTTTTGAATAGACAGGCCAGTCATAGGTCTCATTTTGTAAATGATTGACCACTGACAGTTGCTCATGCAATTGTTCGAGAATTGTTTTGGCGTTGGCCATATGACCTTGAATTTCCCTGTGAATGGAGTCTGCTTGAATGGTGGCGATGTTGTCAATGGACTTCTCTCCACTTCATGATTCATCAAATTTTTGAAATATACAGTTGATGACCAGTGACAGTTCGTCATTGGAAATTTATGCCACATGATATTGATACATTTCCTTTAATTATTCGACTCTAGTTAAGACTTACCTCGAGTAAATGAGAAGAATCATGGAACCAATACAAATCAATGTTTGCAACAAGAAAATTGCTGGTAAAATGTTTTGTAAAGAATGAGGAGCTGGACATATCGATTTTAGAAAACGTTTCGTTCCACTTCTATTATTCTCTTCCAAGTTGAGATTGGCATGGAAGGCCTGAGCAAAACTCGTGCTCGATGAGTCATGAGAACCAGTCAGAGACCCAAAAGATGATGCGCTGTCAGTTGTTGTAAAACTGGGAATAATGGGATGTACTTTGGGTTTCATTGTTTTTTTTGGAGTTGATTCTTCTATGGACTACTACTAGTAGAGATAACAGAATGATACTGTGTGATCGATACTAGAATACAACAATGGCAGTTTTTGTGGGCAAGAGAGATGTTCCCTACTTTCAAACATGGTATTTTGATATTCTTCTTTGAGACGCAAATCTCTCTCGATAGCGTTGTTGTAATCGTACAAACAGGACTCGATCACAATTTAGGATTAAATGTGAATGTAGAGAGATTGTCGTAATTGCGGATTCTTGTCAATGCTAAAACTTAAATGTCAGTCGAAATGTCCATGAATTGTACAATCAGAGATCTACGACTTGAATCAAAGACTTGTATAAGTGTTCATTCTTTCACTGTCGATCATACAAGTCATCATTAAAAGATGATTGGAATCCAATGCACATACACAAGAGAAATATTACAATTTTGCAATGTACAACTTCTCTCTACACCAAATTGTAGGTATCTTCAATTTCCTTCAAAGTTTTGAATCCATACTGATTACACCACTCCAAGCACAGGCGATGATATTCATTCGGATCGCTCTTATAGAGTGATGCTTTCAAGCTGTCTAGAGCATCGTCAAAATTTGGACTAATCATCATGTCACAAATTTCTTTTAAAATTGAGGACATGGAAACCATTTGCGAATAAGTGTCATTTAAGAGTTGATGACAAATCTTTCCATCGTCATTAATGTTGCAGTGATAAATTTTGGTTTCAAACCGAACAGAAGGAGGTACATTTGGATAATCTTGTGGAAATTCGACGTAAAGGAGGAAATATTTGTTGGCATAATTAGATCCAACAGGTCCCTTAAAAACAATTTTCCAAAACGAGAAGTTTTGTTAAACCAAAATTGAAGCATTGGAACTTCAGGAATGTCGCAAGGAGGACTACTGGAGGTAGAAGATGCAACAGTAGGTTCAACTTGGCGTAAAGTCAGAACATCATCCGTTGAGATGCCTAATTCTTGTATTGTGTCATTTTCACACAATTCTGCGTCACTGATAAATAACTTGAATTTGGTGTTCGAAAAGTCTTTCAGTTCCAATCTCGTAGCGATCAACTGCTTGCACTGAGAGACTGTGATCGTTGGGTCTTTGATAGGTATTACAATTTTCTTGTCACCAAACAACGGCTCGTGTAGCCATCTTGTTTTTTTTTGTTTTTATCGTTAATCAACTCGTCACTTTCTGATTCTTTCACAATTCCGCTGTTCGAATAGAAATTGTGAAAGCGGAACCTTGAAGTCTAAAAATGTGCTTTGTATAAAAACTCGGAGGTTTACAACGCTGAGCGTGAATCGTTGCTGTCGTGATTGTGACCGACCACTAAGACGACCAAGTCTCGATTTTGTGATGATCAAGATTCACTCTCCACTAAAGATCAAGCCTATTTCCTTATAATAATTATGAACAACGTCCATGTTAGTTTGAAGGTTTACATATCCAATAAGCTTTGAGTTAATGCTAGTTGTGTACGACATGCGCCATCCTGTCTTTTTTGTAATTTCTCGCATCAATGAAACGTATCCCATAGCATGACCATGCCGTATTCGAATCTTATTTAGTAAATCTGGAATGAGGTTACTTTCATGAGGTGCAAATTGAGCTCCATGATCGAGAAGGAATATTATCTTGGAATAATCATAGAAGTGAAGATAACGAGAAAAATAATGTTGTTCACAACATTCACCATGAATCACTTTGAAAAGTAATGAGCGTGAAGAGTTAAAGTCATGATTGAGTAAATTTGGATCTATTCCACAATCTTCAATAAGAAGTTTGACCAGTGATATGGTGTGATGGTGATAATTGGTTGCACAGTGTCTCAACAACTCAAAATGATCTAATTGTTGATTTTTCACAAGTTTGATGAGAGTTTTTCGTACTAGCGTATTATTATCAAGAATATAGCCATATTGTCCTGATAGTGGGACAAGTGTGTTCAGTAAAATATGTGGCACTTGTTTTGCAAAAATTCCAAAAATCAAATCAGACCAATCTTCATAATTCAAGCCAATCATGAATTTGAACAATACATGTTCCGGGTTCCAGAAATTTCGTGATATATCAAAAGAGAATTGTTGTATGATTTTGTTCAAAAGTGAAATATTGTCACTGTTCAGTTGTGTGTTGTCGGCATTCTCAGATGTGTTACCAGGCAGGGTTGATGCTACAATTCTTGTTTCGTCAGCTTCGGTGAACAATTCTTCATGGGTCATTAATTGATGGCTATTAGAAGCTACACTCATCATACTTGTACGAATACAGGCATTGAAAATGTCGGGAGGAATGTTGCTGTGACAAATAATGTCTGCTATACATGCCAAGACATGAGATTGTCCTTCTTGAATTAAAAACTGTAAAATTCCATTTGAAAATACGCTCATCTTCTTTTCTGGAAAATACAATACAGTTTGTTTCACAAAATGGTAGATTAACGTATAGTTCTTTTTCAATATTGACAGCTGGCAAATATCTTTCACACTCATTCCGTATGGCTTTCCTTTCACAACGGACACAATCTCTTCCCAAAATTTGAAATGATTTTCCATGCATTCTTTCGGATCCAATGTCATGTTGAACATGGAAAGAAAATTATTTTGAATTTTGAAAAACATGGCTATGAAATAATTTGAAAATTTTCTTTGAAATCTTTGTTTGACAACTGCTTTCAGTAACTTCTTACAGGTTTCTCCTGATAAATTAGGATACGCGTTAACCTTGTCTCGTACGCACTCGAGAAATTCTTGATACCGTTTCAGTGACAGTTCCATTCGTGCCTCCGTATAGAGAAGAAGATTATAATAATGCCATCTTCGAAGTCTTCTTCGAGTATGTTTTACGGGTTGAATTGGCTCATAAATGCAATACTCGTCGTTTCCTTTTGACAAGAAAACTGTTGTGCCATCAGTGGTAGGTACTGGGTGTTGTTGTTTTGACATCTCCATTCGTCGTAATTCACGTTGCAAATACTTCTCAAGGACTAATTTCCAAAATTGACCTCCGTGATGATTGGTTGTTTGGTTCCAATGAGAGGAGACTAATAGAAGTCCGTCCAGAAAAACATCGGGAGAGCAATAGTTCGTGAAGAGATGAAAAAGAACATCATGTGGAATAGAAGGTGCAATTATACGAGTCGTTGGTAGTGGTGGTTGAGAACGAACTGTGGTGGTCGTTGTGGCACTTGATGATGATGGCTCCGAATGGACAGCTAAGCCTTGTGGTATCATTTTTTAAATATGAATTTGTCTTTCTAACTTTTCAATAATGAACCTCACCGGATCAAAGAACGAACAATTTACTGATCACGAATTGAATTACTTGACATATTTTTCAAGAATTGGTTTCATGTGATCTCTTGGAATGAGATACAATGGATGACTCTTTGCATCAATGTACAACATGGACTGATCGTGTTTGCTTTCTGGGAATTTCTCTGGATTTTCATGAGTCAATCTGAAATGTCTTGCTAAATTGACGAGGGAGAGATGCAACTCTGTGCTTGCAATACGACTACCAGGGCATTTGCGGGCACCAATTCCAAATGGAAGGCTGTCAAAATATATTTTGAGATTATTAAGATTTTGATTTTCATAAATATAAAGAGTTGGCAAGAGGTGTCAAAGGTCAAAACTTACCTGCTGTACATGGATTTTGGAGCCAATGGATGACCCTTTTCATGTCTTTCAGGAATGAATTCTTTGGCACGAGGAACATATTCCTCCTTCATGCTTGGATGATAATTCATAATTAAGATACGAGTGTCTTTTGGAATAATGTATCCATTCACCTCGAGATCGGTCGAAGTCCATCGACCACTCGTCATGTACGAGAATGAGTTGACACGGAATGTCTCATCCAAAAAGTTTCTCACAAGTTTCATCTTCTTGTATTGTTCCCACGAGATATGAAGGCCATTTTCAGATTCGAATTCTTCTGCAGTGGGTTCACCAAACAATTCCTTCAATTCGTCGAACAATTTATCTTGATATTCAACATGATGAGCAAGTCTGTACATTTGATTCACCATTATACGAGAAGTGACATCAACACCACCATTCAAGAACGAACTCAATACTCCCTCACTCTTCTTTTCTGCATTTTCCATACCTTCAGCACGTTCATCGACATAATCTTTCAATCTTGGGAGTTCTGGATTTGGATTCTTCTCATACATTTTAATCAAGTTTCTGCATCCGTAATAAATCTTATCCATGACAGCTTCCATTTCCTTGTATTGCTTCGTTTTGAAATATTGATAGAGTGGTGGCTTGCTGTCCAATTGAAGAGTAAGATCTGTGCCACGAACAGCAAGTGCTACAAATTCATAAATGGTCCATGGCATTAATTTTTCAATTTCTTCAGTAACTTTGACACCCAAGAAGGTTTTAGCAACAGATCTGAAAGTATACAATGAAGTGACATCAAAAGCATTGGGAAGAAGGTACTTGTTGTCTTCTCCCTCTACTCTTTTCAATTTACTCGCAAGAGTTCTCAAAAAGTCTCCGTTCAATTCTGTAATTTGTGGCAAGCTGACCTTTTCAATATTCTCCGGTTTCATGGCCACATTGAAGAGGTTTCTAATTTCTTGCCAATTTTCATGGATTGGCATTTCTGTGAAATTTCGATCGACATTAAAAGATTTGTTGGCGCATACACAATGAGATTTTCGAGTTGGGGAGGGTCGGTACGAGTATGATGTGAAATGTTGTTTTGTGTGTGCACACGGAAAATGATTGTTTTCAAATGAATATAGTATCAAATTGAATGATTCACAACAACTTACCCATAGGAGCCAATGCAATATCACGTTGTTGCTTGTAAAAACGGTAAGACTTTAAGTGTTCTCTCTGTTCTTCCTTTTTCACTACGTCTTCAATGACTGCAGGATTTGAAATTAAAACCATTCTTTTACCTGGCATGCTGAGACGAACAATATCTCCATACTTTTCACACAACTCATAAAAGTAAAGACTTGGAATACCTTTACGTACGACAATAACCCGTGATATAATCATCATTTGGAATGTTGTTGTTGTTGTTGAATTGAAATTAGAATATAGACTTGTCCAACACTTACCTTTATGTTTGAGTAGATCCAGTAAATTACCGAGAATTGGCAAAGGCTTTGGACCAGGGATCTCTTCATAGGGTTTCGGAGGTGTCTTATTGGTTGACCCTAACGAGGAATGATAGGGACATTTTTGAGCAGCAGATTCACCACTAACTGTTGGCTCACCACCTGCAGAAGTGTTATTGAGTGAGATCAAGTGATGATGGAAACTTCTCAAGCCATGATTCATGGTACTGTTGGCACCACTTGAGAAGGAACTGGACAAGATGGTTGTTTTCTCTGGTTGGTGATGCAAAGTTTTCAAGAGAGGGACTTGATGGTGCACGATCGTCATCATGGCAGAGGAATGACGACGACTTTGCAATGGCCGAGACGATGATGAGATAATGGTACTTCTCAGTGTTTGCATTTTGTTGGTGGTGTGAAGGAATTGTTGGATTTCGAAAAAGCATGTGATGACACTGAAATTGTGGAGAATTAATTTCATCAGAAAAAGAAAAGGGCATACAAGAAAATAAAATTTTGAATCGGATTTGGTTTAAATTGTAATGAACAGGCTCAAAAAGGTTTAATTGTAAACGTGTTTCCTGCTTTGTCAGAGCTGCTGAATGTGCCAATGATTCTCGGGCCAGTGATGAACCTTTGGTTTATTCAACAAATTCTCAAAGGCTTGTGAACTCTGGTTTGTGTGTGACAGTCACCATCATAAATTTGGCTCCCAAAAAAGACGTTAAATTTTTTTAAATTTAAATGAAATTCAAAAAACATTCAAAAAAATAGCATATTGCTACACACGAATTGCACACCATGAAAACTACACTTCATTCCGTCCACTTCATTGCAATTCAATCATGATGAAATTAATTTCACCAACATTCAAAAGCCTAATCATCAATTGTACATCCACAAATTTCTCATCATCATGACAGCAACAACATTCATCATCGAGCCTCTATCACTTTACTCTGATTTGAATGAATTCACCAACAGCAACAAGGCTCACAATTTGCTCCTTCCTCATGAATTCAATTCAGACTCAAGAATCTGCCATTGCTCCATTTTACAACTGAAATTTACGGCACCACCAAATTCAACGTTGAAATTCCCTGTGCAACGGTCACTTTCGTTTTTTCAGTTTAGCCGGCGTCATGGACATATTTGTCTTGACTCTTGAGCCTTATCACCGCGTTTATTTCTTAAAAAATAATCAACCTTAATCACTCCGTTTTATCCCTCTGTAATTTTAGCGCACGGTCATCATGATGAGATTTGAAACTCATTCCATGGCTGTGGTTGTGGCCATCGTGATCATCATCCTGACCACACATGTCCAAGCTTGTACGAATTCTACTGAATGCTCAGCTCAATACGTTTGCCGACAGAATCAATGTGTTCCCGTTTGTTTTGATATTCCTGCCGTGATGACCTCTGTGGTCTGTGGTGGCACTGGACACGGGCGGTGCATGGGTCCTAATAACTGTACTTGCGACGCTAATCGTTATGGCCCTCAATGCCAATGTGTACGAGTAGGAGATGGTAGTGGCAACACTGGCACAGGATCTGTTGGAGGAGTCGACGCTTGCCTCAATACCACGATCGAATTAAGGTGCAGTGGACATGGAGCACTTCGTATGGATGGTTTAACTTGCGAATGCCAGAGTGGTTTCTTTGGTGAACGGTGTACTAGCCAAAGCAACACGATTCCATGTAGTGGTCCAAATTATGTGATGAGTACGGATGGCCGTTGTATTTGTGCCATGGGATATTCGGGCATTAATTGCTCTCAATCTGCACCTCCGATCATAACGACACCTCATTGTATGAAATATCGATCTGAACTCATCTTGCCCGAATGTGCATCGATTGTAAATTATGAATTCATGAACACTGCATTAATTGGGAATAATGAAGTGCATTATAATGAAACACAGTACGAGGCCCTGCTGAATGAAAAGATGCAAGCTCTTGCTGAAAAAGCTCGTCAACAAATTCAACACGACATGCGAACATTTGAAACTTGTGCAACCACATCTGAAAATTGTAAACGTGCTTTACTTACCTTTTCGTGCATGAGCGTATATCCATCGTGTCGATATATCGGTAATGGAACGCCTGTGCCTGTCAAACTTTGCAAAGAATCTTGCATGTCATTATTTGGTCTCATGCCCTCTAATAATGGTACTGCTGGTTCGGCTACAAGTGTTGCTGGCAGCAACAATGATCCCAATGACATGGTTGGAAGAATATGTCAAAATTTAACAAGCTCGAATGCTAATGAGTCTTGTTTTATGATTAATCCCAACAACAATAACAACTCAAACCCCATCTTCTGCGGACCAAATTCGATCATCATGCATAATGGAAGCTGTATGTGCGAAGAGGGCTACACTGGCACCAATTGCTCACTCTATAACCCAAGACCTCAATGTATTCAATACAAGTTCGACTATTTGAATACCAAATGTACCTCACATGCCAGATATTTGTATTTGAATACGTTATTCGGTAGCACTGCCACGAATAGACAACAATTTGAGGAACGAATTCGAGAGGGATTTTCTAGTTTGTCACGCTCTGTGGACATGATGTTCGAAAATGCTAAACAAATGAGCAGTGATTGCAAAACCGATGCATGTCACTTCGAAATGTTGAAATTTATCTGCGCCTACATTTATCCTGCTTGTCTTCATACCACCAACGACACCTCCACCGTTGTTTCTGCACGTATGTGTAAGGGCTCATGCCTTCAAACATTAACCCCTCGCTTAAATGAGACTCAGTACCGGCCCCTATGCGATCCGCTATCAAATTCTGATTGTATTATGTATCCTGATCCTGTGCCTCAAAATGGTTGTGGGCTCCATGGTCAACTTCAACAGAATGGAATATGCCAATGTCAAGACCAATACTTTGGAAATGACTGCTCCATTTATATCCCAAGACCTCAATGTATCCGCTATCCAACCGAGCGCCTCCATCCAAAATGTTATCCTTATGTGACCTATGATTATTTGAATACCATGTTCCTTACAAACGCTACATCCAATCCACAAAGCTTTGATCAAAATTTGATGATTGCCTTTTCCAACATGTCACTGTATGTTGAACACATGAGTTCCAAGTTATTGCCTTTGTGTGAAGCTCTTGAGGAATCATGTAAGAGAAGATTGGAGAGATTTATATGTTTGTTTGTCTATCCTGCATGCAAAAGAACGAGTGCAACCTCTTCAACAACTGATCAGACACTTGTTCCTGCACGCATGTGCAAATCTTCATGTATGAATACCCTTTTACCATTTGCCAAACCAGACCTATTGCCTCTGTGCAACGATTTGAGAGAAGATATTTGCATTGCCATTCCTCAAGACAATGTCAACTCGTATCGATGCGGAGGTTTACTACCCACAGATGAAAAAGTTTGCAATCGAAATGGTATTTGTTTGGCCGGTTTTTGCAATTGCAGCTCTGGATATTCAGGTGCTTTGTGTGATCGTTATGTTTGCACGAACAATTGTAATGGAAAAGGTCAATGCGTTGGACCCAATCGATGCGAATGCACATCAGGCTTTAGTGGTTCTGACTGCTCTCAATTTGCTTTACCACAAGCATGCGTCTCCATTCCAAGCACTGCGATTCCGTTCTGTAAAAACTATGGAGTGAATTACAACGTGTTAAATTTGGACTTCTCTGTGGGAGCAAAAAACAATTCTCATGCTATTCAAGTTTTCATGGATGCTGTGAGTGAAGCAGATCGACAAGCTCAAACGAACTACAATGAATTTGTTGCTGCCAAGAATTTATGTAACTCGTCAGTACCATCCTGTGATATTGCTCCCCTAAAGAAATATTTCTGTTTACAGCAATTCAAGTTGTGTACAAACAGCAATCCTAGGATGTCACTATGTCGATCAGTTTGCCAACAAATTTCTGCCTCGAGCAATATTACCTTAAATTGCGATCTGCTGCCCACTGAAGGTTGTAACTTTGGTAGTTATTTGCCAACTAGTGTCACTTGTTTTGGCTTGAGAAGAGACAATCCTCAAGTATGCTTTGGAAAAGGCCAATGCATTGCTCAAGACCAATGCCAATGCTTTACAGGTTTTGGTGGTGATAGGTGTGACAAATATATTTGTCACTCCAAATTATCGAACGATCCATCTGTATGCTCAGGAAATGGTACTTGTCTATTCAGTGATTATTGTCAATGTCGAAGAGGTTACACTGGTAGATTGTGTGATATTCCAACTTGTAATGGCCTCACAGATGTGATGGGCGGCTGTTCATGGAGGGGCAAGTGTGAAACAATAGATCGATGTGTTTGTGATTCTCCTTCATTGGAGCCATCATCTTTTTGCTCAAGATGTAAAAAAGGGTATGAGGGACCTAACTGTGAATATCCTATATGCTTCAAAGTTCAGTCCAATTATGGAAGTGTTTGTTCGGGACATGGTCGATGCACAAGCCCAAACAATTGCGTTTGTGACAACGGTTACACGGGAAATGCATGCCAATCCTTCACTTGTTATGGAACAGATGCCAGAAATTCAACTGTTTGTGGAGGTCATGGTCGGTGTGTAGCTCCAGACACCTGTGTCTGTGAACCAAGGTGGAACGATGGAAGAAATTGTACATCCTGTAGTCCTGCTTTCAATGGACCTCAATGCGAGAATCAATTTTGTTCCAAGGCTATCACTTGTAACAATCGAGGAGAGTGCATAAATAACGAGTGCACATGCTCTGGTAATTTTGGTGGCAGGTTTTGTGAGAAATGTGCTCCTGGTTTTGTAGGAGAAAATTGTGACATTTTGTGTACTTCTGCATTGAATTGTTCTTCGAATGGCGTCTGCTCTAGGAATGGGTCTTGTGAATGTTATCAACGATTTACTGGTGCCAAGTGTGATACATGCTCAGGTGCATGGTCTGGTTCTGGCTGCATGTTTAATTTACCTTCTGTGTTGACTTTCAGTGCGAATGGAGATAGACTTGTTGGAACCTACTACTCCTCAATCAGAAAACGAATAGAGTGTAAGAGTTTAATCACCGATGATAGTCTTGATAAGATTGGTGGTGACGATGCTGACTGCAATTTACTTTCAGATGGTACCTTTGAAATTGTACTTGGTGCCTTTGCAACAGTGACCACTGGAGATGTTATTTCGTTTTATCAGGATCCATCTAAAGGTGACTCTTCTCCAACTGTGGACGTTCCTGTTGCTTCAGGTTCATTTATTCCAGCACAACCTACAGCCATTCTCTTTGTTGAAAAGAATGTTGTGTCGTCATGTGATCGAGTAGTATTGGATGCTTCAGCCTCGGCCACATTGGACGGTAGAAAATTGCAATATTCTTGGTCTGCGTCAACAGCTCCCTCGAGCGATATGCTTTATTTCCTCAATGAACGTTTCTCTCAATGGAAATACTCGATTATGACCTTTGATGCTTCACTTCTTGAAACAGGCACCTATACAGTAGAAGTAACAGTTCAAAGTTCATTCAATACATTCTCCAAACAATCTATTTCGTTTGATGTCATTGGAAATGCTGTGCCAACAATTTCTCTGAAAGAAGGATTGAGTCCAACAGTCAATATTGGTTCTCTCGCGTTAATCAACGCTCACATTCGATTCCCACTGTGCTACAATGGCAATCCAAGATTAACCAGATGGAATTACACCATGGATGAGACCAAATCTTCAGCTGCCAATGTTGACATTAAATTCAGAGATGGAATTTTAGTATTTGGACCAAGTTATACCGTACTTCCCATTGAGGGAGATTATTATTTTTCTGTGACAGCTCAAGCAGATAGAGCTCAACCTGTTTCATTACAATTTAAGGTAACAGCTGTTGCAAAACCATTGCTTGTGAAATTTGACATCTTTGACGTCACTCAATCCACTGACGAAGTGTTATCGTTCAATGTTTTGACACTAGATCCAAGTGCCACCAGTGATACCTCCACACTCAACATTTCATGCTTTGATTTAGTCAACGCAGTAGATTGTGCGAACCTTCCCTCACCTATACAGACGCCATTCTCGAGCAAGCTTTTGGAAGGCAAGTACAAATTCACAGCTACCTACAGTAAAGGTGTAAGAAGTAATAGCGCCTCCTTAACTGTTACTGTGGTGAATATGGCCAGAGACGCAATGATCCGAGTGTCCATAGTGGCCATGTCCGTTGGCATGTCGAATCAAGTGGCTGACATGACTGCTGTTGATCCTTCGAAAGATTTGGTTCTTCTATCCAGGTTCATTGATCGTGTCTCACGGCCTACTTATTTGTGGGAAAGTGATGATTTGTCATTGGATGATATCGAGTGCACTCTGAGCTATTTGAAACTTCCAAAAACTCTCTTAACAGGTACTTTCACCATTCGATTGACTGTGACCGATGGTACAACACGAACAGGTAGTACTTCCCTAACCTTCACTATGAATCAACCACCCTCAAAGGGAGTGTTTGAAATTAGTCCCAACAGTGGTGTAGCTCTCAAAACCCTTTTCAACATTGGTTGTTCGAATGGCTTTAGTGACCCTCACTTACCTCTCACCTATCAATTCTTTTATTATGATCAGTGGATTGGAGATTGGAAACAACTCAATGATCGCTCGGAGAGAAAATCCATTACATCCCCATTACCTGTGGGTAGTGGAAGTGGAAATACGTTGAGGATTAAGGCCGTTGTTTATGATTCGAAATTAGCATCAACATCGGTAGAAACGAGTGTTGTGGTAACAGCTCCCTCAGCCGAAGAAGCTCGATCCATTCTTCTCAATACCACCACCCAAGGAACCATCTCGCAATCAACTGCTACTGCTGCTTTGGATCTTCTCAAGACGATTCAAACCAATGATTCGAACATTATTCGACAAATGAAAGATGTTGGATCTCAATATATCAATGCTTATTTTGAAAATGTAGAAGAACAGGTGGCTATTTCTGGAGAAACGAGTGACAGTGCCTCAGCTAAAATAGATGTTATTAACACAGCAAGTGGTAGTTCAGCTTACCTTCACGACTCGACTTCCTCGACTTTGATTTCCAAACTTTTGAACACTACATCACTAATTTCATCCTCTGGAACCATCAATACTGAATCAAGCACTTTGGATATTGCCAAACAAGCCGCAGATTCACTCTTTACTCGTGTAAATCAAGCTGGAATGACCTCAAGAAAAGCAAACGCTTTCAGCAAAACCGACATTGACAATTTGAAACAAATCTACCACTCATTGTTAATATCATATACCAAAAACTTAGCTCCTGATATGCCTGCAACTAGATTAGCTGCTCAGGGAATACTCGGCTATAATCGCAAGCTCAATGCAGCAACACTGAATGGTTTGGCTGAAATTGTTGATGGAAAGCACAAGTATGCCCTTTCTCAAAACTTTTCCAAGATTCCAGAAATTGCCTTACATTCTTCTGTTAATATCATGATGAGAATCTACAACATGTCAACAGCGTTATCCGAATTCCCCATTCATACCTTAAACATCACTTCAAAAGTCATTGACTTTTCCGTGATACCAGAACAGTCCATGAAAATTGAAATCAAACGCCAACCACACTCAATAGCCAACCTTACTTTTGAATCTGTAAAAAAGAGTAGCAATGCCAGAGCGTTGTTACAAGCCACCGATACCATGGCTTGTAGAGTTTGGAATGAAGCAACCAAGACCTTTGAGGTTTCATCCGATTGTACGATTATTGAGAAGAACGTTGATACCACTGTGGCCTCTGTGAAAAGTACGGGAATATTCATCTTGACCACTGAGAATGTGAGTCCTTCAATTATTACACCAACTCATTCCTCAAGAAATACCAGTGTCAATGGTGCTGTAACATGTTTCATGATGCCAATAATTACCTCTCTCTTGATTTCATTGGTGGTGTTGGTGTTGTTGTAGTGAACTGAACTGTTCGCTCTTAAAAAATGTCATCATAATTAAAAAGCTTTTTCATCACAGCACCAGCAGCGTACCTTGCCTTTCGGTAATGATGGAAATTAATGATGGATTTGTCATGGTGGAAACTCATTCATAATTGGACTGGTAATAACAACAACAAAATGATTTCTCAAACAAGAACATTCAATGTTCTTGCTCATACGTTATGTGCGATGATGCTAGTTACCAATCATCTGGCAGAAAAATAATAATGAAATTTCATCATCATCAGCGGACCATGATCACAACATGAATTTATTACACCAGCCAAGCAGTGATGAACACGAACAGCAAGAAATGAAACTTCCTTTACCAACGTTCTTTACACCTCCCCAATGATTCATTATGATATTGACAGTTCCATGATTATTACCTGCACATATACGCCACAAA